TGTTATAATCCACTAGGTCTCATCGCTCAAGGTTTATACTCTTCGAGGCGTATGGTGTATACAGCAATACAGCTATTTCAAAAAACGGAGGAAAAATGGAAGAAAGGCAAATAAGTCTTCAAGCCAAGACCCCAAGGTAATATGGGTAGTTTCAAATACGTCTTTTGAGAGCAAAAATCATAGTACTAAACTAGCTGCTGATTTTGTATTCACCATTGATACTAAACCATAGTTACCATTAAAAAAAAACAAAACAAAACAAAAAAGGTAAAAAAAAAAACAACAGTAGAAGCGTACCCTCGTTTTTACAAAGGACAAAGACAAAAAAGCGTAATCAGCGTAATGCAGGTGCAAAGTGTTTCTTATGCACGCTATTCTAAACATGTTGATTTTTGCCGCGTTCACGTTTCCTTCGCAGTCGTATTTGGTTAAACCCGCTACAGTTTGAAGGCCCTCCAACCACCTCTAGCATCAGAGTTTTTCAGAGCGTAGGAATCTCCCACATAACGTTCCAGCTTGTTCTCAGGAACAAACGTAAAGTGGTTTCTACTCCATGTACCTCATACCCCAGCACTTCCCTTATCATCATAAAAATCCCATACTAACTTGCAGTCTTGGCTAAAGGCTTTTTATTTTTCTTATCACTAAGTTTTTTGATATCACTGTATTCACCATTTTCACACAGGCCATAATGCACCTTGTTTCCCCCCACAATTTTGCATAACCATTGTCGGCTTCAATTTCTCTTGGGACGACCGTGATATCCAGTAGAAATTGGAAACAATGATTATGCAAGATTCTGGGGAGTAAACGAGATGCATTATGATCTATGTGAAGATAGTGAATGTACTTTTAGCTTTTGTGTAGATGTCGATGGATGAAACCTAAGGTAAGCGCATCAAATTTTTGCTGTACTCCTCCTGTTACATTAATTTTATTTTGTCACAGTATAATAAATGCATACTTACTTTTTCTTCCATTCTTCGCAGATTTCTAGCAGGGTCTTGTTGCGTTTTGGTCTCGAGCGTCTATGAATTCTGGAATCATAAAGCGCATGATCAGAAATAACCGTGGACTGAATTGTTACTCTGTATAACTGGGAATAACTCTGGTAGAGAAGTATAATATATACTACACCACTGCCACTCGTTTAGATGTTAAAAATCAAGTGAGATGGTGTATATGATATTACCTTGGAGTACAAACATCTTTTTCTGTCAATTCTTTCCTTTCAGGTTTTAGTTTCTTTCTCTGACCTTCCCCATCAGGTGTTAACCGCGGCACCCTCACACCAGACCGGGCCAGGCTAAATTCTCCAATCATCTGATGCACCAATGTACGAGTTTGTTCGATCTCACTCAACGCACCTTCGATTCTGTCCAAAGCGTGCATGGCTTTCGTGAAGAAACGAATACCATTTTCTATCCCGGTTCCACCGGCTGTAAGGGGTCTAGATCGAAACTTGAACTCGGTAGGATCGCAACTCTCTTCAGCTTCTTGCTGTCTATCCATGATTACAGAGCGGGCCTTACTAAGATCTCAGCTCAGTATGTACATGTAGTTGTCGAGCGTCATAAAAAGGTAATTAGTAAATGGCTTTAATCCAAATTTCTAATTAGTTGCTCAAAAATAACAAACCCTTGAGCATTAGTTTACTGTTCTAAAAAATGTGTTTCTATGTTTGTGGGTGGGCGAAGTAAAATTTACTTTTAACAACTGTCTTGATAAAGGTATATTTCAAGCGCTAACGTTTTAAACTAACTGGTTGGGCCTCTACTGCAATCGCGCTAGAAACGTTAGCCTTTCGTTTCTTTTGTCTATCTGTGTCACTCCTTCAACTTAATTCGATGAATCAGTAAAATGCCCCAAGTGAAGTTTTTCTTTTGAACTGATCTCTTTTTACACTATACTGAAGAAAAGCTCTATCTCATTATGTTTTGTCATAGAGCATCAAGCGGGTTAATTGTTCAGTATGCGCCGCATTTTTAGCTATTCTGGGTCGCTTTTGGTGTTGGTCACTGACTGAGTTTCTTTATAAGAACTTCTGATAAAAGGAACATTTTTTCAAGAAGACAAGTCTTACGATGAAAATTGACCGCGGCACAGGGTGAGCCTCCTGAGCGTTTATAAGTTATGTGCTCCATTTTCTTGTTAAAATAAGTTCTGTCTTGGTGTTACTTCTTACTAGAGTCTCCCTCAGGTAAAAAAAGACTAAGACATAAAACCTTTTACCATTCCTAGAGGAACACCCAACTTTGAAAGTAATTTCTGCTCAGGGAGTTTGTTGCTCCTTTGCCTTTTCTGCGCATGTCGTGACGTTGTGTCAGGTACCAGCGACAACTTACGGTTAATTTACATAACTGATCATTTACCGCTAAACCTCCTGCACTAAAGAAGAGTCAAGCCAAGGCAAGCATCGTTATTTAAAGTATCACCTCGCTGAGAATCGAGATGGACAGTTTTAAGATAGAACTGTTACATGGTGATTAACCGTCAAAACCTGCGCGCGGAAGAAAATCGCCCGCGCGCAAATCAGTCGAACTTGATTTCATAAATAGCGTCACAGACGCATTCAAGCGCAAGAAAAGACCAAAATGTCGAAAGAGCGTGATCGTTCGTATCCGTTTATCCTCTGTGTTCCAGAGATATTGGACATGATTCTACGATATCTTCCGGCTAGAGAACTACGCACAACAGCCAGAGTTAACATCTTGTGGAGGAATATTTCTATGCGCATTCTCCATTCACGTACCTCATGGAGCATTTATTACCTCGCTGACAAGCTCATCACAGGTAACGAAATTGACACTATAATCGAAAACATGTACACGGAACCACGATTGGTTATTCACTTAAGCCATCGAGAAATCTGGTTCACGAGGAGAGAACCTCGAAGACGAAGAAACGAAGAGCGCCAACTCGTAAGATCTGTGTTCAATTTATACTCCAAGCTTCCGCCAGGATGCGTTACGCTTGGTTGTACTACCGAGCGTATTGTCTTTCAACAGCCAATTGACGAGTTTACCCCTGATCGGATGCTTCACCTTAAAGCTGGACACGCTTTCATGTGTGCACCTTACATGCCCGGTGTGAAATACCATCATGTCTATTTGCGCACACCAAAACCTCCTTCTGCAAGTAACTGGTGTGCGATGTTTGATCTGCCCGCTGATACACCGGTAAAGTTGGTGATCCTAATTGCATTGTCAGCGAGCAGGGACTTTATTCCTTTCATTGCTGCAGGTAATGTGCGTTTTATTCTCGACAGTTAACTGAAATATGCTTATATTCCAGTAAAAAGTTTTCTGCTTGTGTTAAAGGTTAGTTTGGGCATTCCTCGCCAACCTGACTTCCTAAAACATTTCCAAAAGGGGTGCCAATTCAATTTAATTCTTTTTTACGCCATACGGGACATTTCCACAAAATTTTGTCGGGACGTTTCTTTGTAATTTTTTGGATTTCAGACAATTTACCGTAGATTCAAGGAAGTTTAATACAGAAAATAACTAAGGCAGATTCATGTTTTTTTCTCGTTCTACATTCTGCATTTGGCGTATACATTCGTCACGTTGTCGAGTTAACTCGTCATTTTGTTTATGCATTCAGTTAGTTTTTTCCTCTATAAAGCTACGGTCCCCTAAAAGTAACGAAAGCCTTTTCAAGCTATTTAGAAGGGCGCATGTCCAACTTAGTAAACTAATGTTTGAACTTAGCGGAAAGGCGCGGTTTGGCTAGCGATTGAATTTTAAAAAATGGCTGACGGGTTAATTGCGTTCAGCTATTGATCGGTACGTAGCAGATGGTAGACACAAGACCAAATTTGTTTCGCGCAATACTGAGGAAGTAAAAGGTGACAGTTAAGCTGCAATAGTATTGTGTGCAACAAATTTATCCACAATGCAGTTTACGCTGTTGAACACTAAAAAGTGGTTCGATATTTAAATTTCACGTTGTAACCATTTCCATCCTTGCCAAAGAAAAATTAAGACTTGCACTTGCTTTTAGGTTGAATAGAAGAGTAATTTTTAAAAAAATCGATTCTTAGTTTTCGGATTTCTTTGTTTCCTGTGTTTTTAGAGTTTAAAGAAATACACAATACCAAATAATATTATGAATCGTGACACGTTCTTTAACGTCCGACATCATACGGTGCAAAACGGAATCCCGGCATTTGACCTGATTTGACATAATATACCTTCCGTTTCAGGAATCAGGGAGACATATGGTAACCAAGTGGTCGTTTTTGCCGGGGTTGGTCACGACCGTTTATTCATCGATGGACTGGTAAAAAGAGCAAGAGTTGTCGCTATTTTTATTTCTGGCGAACGGTTCCGAGCATGCGCCGGAATATTAAACCGCGGAAACAACGCCGACTTTTACACTCCGGCTCACGAACTCGTAGAAGAAGCGAGGTTAGAAGGATTTTCACCAAAATTCTCGCTCCTCTTTACTTCTAGATTCGTTCACAAAGGACAAGCTTTCTATTCTAGCTCTCAAACTGCTTTTAAAGAAGGGTTTTCGAATATTCCCATGCTCGGATTTTATTCGTACGGTGAATACTGTCTGACCCCGAGTGACTCTGGGATAACAAGGATTAATGAATACAAACGACATATGAGATACAACTCTGCTATTTACTGCGTGTGTTCCCATAGAAACGAAGCAGAGTAGTAAACCATAAAATAAAAGAAAGATTCTTGAATATTCCCTTTCTATATTTTTTTTAGAAGTCGTTGACCAGCAATCCCGAGTAAAATATCCGCAACCGAAAAAATACAAAATAAAGTAACTTTTAAAATCATGTTTGAAAACCATTTTTATTTTCTCCGAGGTATTCAAGCAAACATTTCATCTATACCTCAACTTGCATCCTTAATTTGGGACGGAAATACAAACAATTTTAATATTAAAGACAAGGAAGAAACAAATAATTATAATATTTTAATAGAACTTTAAACAACAGACCAAAGTTTCTACTTTTTCAGTTGTATTTATAGTTCCCTGCATCTGAATTTACCCTTATGATAAGAAAAACGTTTTTCGAAAATCAGGGCGCACCGTTTTGTCTCTCAGTTATTTCACAGATAAAAAATAATAAATACTAAATAATTACATAGTAAAGACTAAGCACACCATGATATATCGCGTTGACACATGGCTTGAAACCACTGATGCATGAGCTGATTAGGCGAACTCAAACTTAATGCAGGACTATCTTTCCTTGTTTCTCCTGTGTGAGTCTAAAACAAAATAAAAGAAAAACAAGAAAGAGAAAGAGGATTGAATAACAGATATTCAACAAATTTATACTAATGATAGTGTGAGGAGCTAACTTTTACTAGGTTTCACAAGAACGACCAACCGCTATCAGATTTGTTCTTGGGCGTGCACGAAAATCCTGAGGTGTGTGTGGACAAAATTCTCTGATGTAACATTCTAACCTGCATACATATAGCTCCCAGTGGTAGTCTGGTTTGAAAACTAAGTTATTAGAGGGGGAGTATATAATTTTAAATAAGTTCGACACTATTGTCTTCGTCGCTAAAGAAAGACTCTATTTGTCTACTCATGCATCAAACGAGCCGCGAAGCCTACGAGAGGGAAAGTTGTTTCTCCTCCTCATTTCTATTGGCGGCTTCGCCACTCGTTTAAAAAGCGAATTCTTCACCGAACTCTACCGAAACCGCCACCTACGCAGGCAAAAATAGTCAAGCGAAACCTCTTTTGTTTGTTACCGTTTATCACATTATTCTACTTACCAGGGGAGGGGGGTAAACTCTACGGTATCCTCCCCTGTGGTGATGCTCTAAATACGCAGCTTTGATAAACTCTCGTTCATTCTCCCTAAGACAAGGGTAACATAGACGACATTTCTAAGGAAAGAAACAAAAGACATGGCGCGGATTAACTAGGAAAGGTTAAGACGGAATCCACCAGGAAATTGAGTAATTTTAATTTTCAGTAGACAAAAATCTTGTACCAGAATAATTTAAAGCATATTACATTCTTTTCTACAATTTTCAAGGACTAGCGCACTGGTTGTCCAAACGTCAGTCACAGTCAGGACTACGTTCAGCCGGATGATCATACTCAACCTACTTATGAAAAGATTCCAAAGCAAGGATAAGATGATGATCGAAAATAACCACAGGACACCTACCTCACTATAACAGCTCTTGGAACATTCTTTACTTGAACAGGTCTCGTACAAAACCTGCGTGTCGTGATCACTGACTAACATGTCTTTTTCAGAGGGCGAGCTTTGAAAGCAAGGTATCTGTAATTAATACAACTGACTGAATTCTTGACTGTTAGCAAACATTTTACGACTTTGGAGGAGTTTCCTTACCTGTACTTCAAACTATGATCCAATCTGGTAGCTACTCCCACTAAACCAAGAAGATTAAACACAACCTAACAAATAGAATAGAAAGTTAACAATGATGTGAAGTATATGAAATAATTCATTTTTGAACTGCGGTTGTAGATGAAAGTGAAGAATGATCATCGCAGTAAATGTACTGCCAAGATCATTCTTCACTTTCAGAAAGTTAACAATAACCATATTTAAAAATGCTGACCCAGTTTCACTAAGGTGCAGTATGGTAGACCAACACCTCGTACTTATTTACATGTACATCTCATTACAAATACAGAAGTATAATAAAACAGCATATTTGTTAAATTCCTCTTTCTTTGTTCACACTGTACCGGGTAGCTTTCATGCCGCCACGAAAATCATACCGGATCACAGGGCGTCTGTTCACACACAAGAACGGTTCTAGCGGCGCGATTTCAGTGACGGAGTCAAGCTGCGCCGCGCCGCGCCGATCTCGAAAGTGGAGAATCACATATCGGATAAGTGCAATACTTTGGTGCAGTGTGAACACCTATTCAACGGACGTAAATAAGTAGGATCGAGAACTGGGCCCACTGAAATGGAAGTAAATATTGAGGAATAGTGAGGACTGGAATTTCGTGTAGCAAACGATGTGCGTGAACGACTTGTGGCGGCCTGGGCCGTTCCTGTTCATACTACACCCATTATAGTGTGAACTTAGACTAGATTAGATTTCCCACAATCCCGCAATTCTGAAACCCAAACATGAAAAGCAAGTTATTACGGTACCACTGGTAAGTACTGCTCAGTATCTCTCCCATGATTTGAATGGTCAAAAACTGGAACTACCTTGTACAACACAGTAAACCGTAAAACAGAAAAGCACTACTCAGTAGCCTTCATTTTAATGCTCACACTTAAGTTTTTCACCCACAGACTCAAAAGTAGAACCACCTTGCACAGCATAATACACAGTACCACAGGAAAGTACTGCTCAGTAGCTTTCATTTCAGTGGTTACAATTTAGGTTTCCGCCCACAGAATCAACACTGGGACAACTTTGCATGGCGTAATGTAAAGTACAGGAACGTACAGGAAAGGCTAATGTTGAGCTCGACTTGTAGCTTTCACTTGAATTAACATTCAAGATGAAAGTGTTAAGGTACGAAAAAACTACAAACAAAGAAACCAAAAACGAAATACTACATGAAAGTACTCCTTACACACAGTTCAAGTACAGGTCTACTCAGAAGCTGTGATTATGGAGGAGACTGAGAATACTGAGGCAAGAAGCTACTAGCATACCTGTTCATACATGAGTTTATTATGTGAGTGTGCTGCTGAAGACAAGTTAGGGGACATATTCACCTAAAAAATACCAGGTAATATTAGGATTAATCACATTACATTGTATCTCAGCCATGATGCAGTTAAAGGCCGTAACAACAAGCACTGATTACCTCCATAAGCCATACTTTCATGTCGGCGTCAAGGATAAAATCAAAACGAACCATCTCAAAGAAATTTCTGCAAGAAGAATCAAGATGGAAAACATCAGTAGCCTATTCACGTCTTTATACTCGTGTCAGTAATTTCAACTGTTATCTACCGATTTTACGGACTTGCACCACTATAGTACATAGGCGTACGGGCCGGGGGGGCGAGGGGGGCTACAGCCCCCCCAAAGTTTGGGCAACTCAGATTTTTTGGGCAGCAAGAGAAAATTTGGGCAAAGCCAATTTTTGAAGACGTTTCCATGTTTTTTTATCATTATTATTATTTTGAAGAGATAATATTTTCTATTTTAACCAGAAGTCAGCGTAATAATTCAGTCACGTTCACACGAGACATGTCGTGGCCTAACACGTGATGAGTTTCTGGTTATAAGGGAAGGGTATCGTATGCTGATTTTTTTTATTGTTGGGCACTGTACTTCACTGCATTAGCTGGAATGGGCTATTTCCAGTCGTGAATTGATTAGAATAAACTTCCGCATAACTTTCTAAATTCACTCCCGCTCCTAGAACAGTGTGTGGCAGAACACGCATCAGCAATGGGTCTGAAAGTGAAGAAGTGGCTGACTAATTCTCAGTTTGAATTACGAGAAGAATCATAATTTTTTAAAAAAAATCTATCCAGCGGTTTAAAAATTATTCACTAATTTGTTTAAGTAGACCGAAATGTTTACAAAACCCCTAACAAGATCGAGCGCTAATCAAATCCTTCTTTATAGCAATTGGCAGAAGCTATCTCCATGATCTTTCAAACACGTTTTTAAAACATTGAAACTACTATGAGGTGAAATTACATGTCAAAAGCGCTTCGTTTTCTTCAGATTACGACTAAACATCAAGATTTTCCTTTTTTAACTTATTTCTAACAATAAAAACTTCATCCCAAAATATCTCGATAACGCTCTTACAGTTCCGTTGTAACTTCATGAACATTGAGGCGACTATTGGAGGAAAGAGCTTCCCTGAACGATTTTGTAAGAACAGAGTTCCCAGTGAGAAATATTGCTGCAAGTATAATAGGTAATGGCGTCATTTCGTTGCTATTACAGCTCCGATGTCATTGCCATCCTGATCATGCCAAATTTCCTTCTTTGAATACAACTGTGGTGGCAATTTTTTCCAAATGCTTGTTTGTGGCGACATAGTTTATGCTCAAACTTGGCAGGTATTGTATCGAGCCACTTTCATATGCCAGTACGGCCTATTTTGTTGCATGGCCCTAGTTTCCTTTCGACTGTTTGGTAAAAATTCGGGCAACTTGCAAGAATTTATGGGCAAATGGATTACCGCCCCCCCCTGGTAAAAAATTTCCCGTACGCCTATGCTATAATACCAAGTCTCCCTTTACTGGTCGTTCACTGTTCATTATATCTACACAAAAATATGTAGTTTTATGCCATTGTCATCCATAAGAATTTATTTTGAACAGTTTTTAACACTTTCTTTCCTAGTGTTTGAAATGAATTGTCGATTTGAGACTGACGCTCGCCATATGCCCTAAAAGTGGTTCTAAAACTCTCTAATGCCTTACGCCTTGTTTGAATTACGGCACCCGCTTGTCACAAAAGTTGTCCACTTACCTCGTGGATCTGTAAGTTGCACCTGCCATAATCATATCTGGCTCCTTTCTTAAATAAACCTATGGAATAAAAAAGAATTTTAAATTAATTTAATTGAGTAGGTAAAAAATGCGATTAGGCTTTTGTACAGCTCCCTGTGCAGGCCGGGTTCGTATGAGCAGTTCGTAGGCTTTCTAAATGAACGACCAGGAAACACTGCAGCACTGAATAACGACACTCGACCCTAAATGAATAAGGGTAGTAGTTGGTACCAGTTTATACCAGAGATAACTTTGATTTTATGATTGGTCTATTCGTCAGTCTAAATAAAATTTCATCATCATCATCACCAACGTAATCGTAATCATCATCGTCATTTGTTTGTTTTTTCTAACAAATGTACAGTACAATATTTAAATCCAATGAAACAACAAACTAAGTAGTCATTACCTCTGCAATGGCTCGATAAATATCATTCCACATCTTATTAACATCTTTACCTACAAGACAAACCGCCGCCTGGTTAGCTCAGTTGAGTGAGCACCGGTCTGCCGAGCGGGAGGTCGCGGGTTCAAACCCCGGCCGGACCAACACTCAGGGTCTTTAAATAACTGAGAAGAAAGTGCTGCCTTTGTAATGACATCTGCAAATGGTTAGACTTTCTAGTCTTCTCGGATAAGGACGAAAAACCGTAGGTCCCGTCTCATAGCACTTTCACTGATTTGTTCTTGTGGGACGTAAAAGAACCCACATCACTCACTATTCTAAAAGAGTAGGGGTCGTAGACCCCGATGGTGTGGCCAACCTTTAAGGGTTGTGGGAGTGGCTTGGGATGGCAGCTCGCATGGGACCCATGAGTGCCGTTCGTGCACATTCCCTCTAGGCAGGCCTGTGTCCAGAAAAGCTGGTATATAAGCTGGTAAATAAGATAAGAGGAAATAATACCCATGTTCATGTCCGTTTTATAAAATCTGACAAAGAAATAAAGGAGCAGTAACATACCATTTTGTTTGAGGTATGTGTTTAGTAAAAGTTTCCGACTGTACTTTCCATTTTCCCACAGTTTCTTCAGAGATGGTAACTGAAATAAAGGCAAGATAACCAAATTTGCTGTAGAAAAATCCAACCAGGTGACAGCTGAGGCTAACAGAACGCAAAATACTGGACTAAATATTGAATTAAGGATGGTAGACTGTTATTAAGAGGAGAAAGACACCTAAAAAGAAGAGATGAAAAGGGAACAGAACAGAAGGGAACAGAAAAAAAGGGAAACGAAAGTGTAATTAAAGGAAATGAAGTGAATCAAAGGGAATGGAAGAAGGGAAAGGAAGTTAATGAAATAGAAGCTTTTCTTGTTGTTTTTTCTACTTTTGCAATTTGAAACTGTCCATAACATACTGTTTCATGTTTCAGGGTCTCCGTCAGCTATGTATTTCAGTTTATCTTATTGTACAAAAATGTTTGCAACTAGTTATAATAAATGAAATAAGAAAGCAAAGAAGAAAAACCAACAAAACAGACAAAAGGGAAGGGATGGAAAGGGAAACAGAGGATTTTAGCTATACCTCCCAGGGTTGTGTGTAAGCATCTTCCACGACATACTTCTTAGTATCTTCCGGATCAAATGGATAATAATCCTTCTCACAAAATCTACAGAACAAAAATAGTGATGTTCTTCTTACAGAGTACTACAAGCATCTCAGAAGATTGTTTCCAAACAACATCACCATATCTACAAGTACATGCATGGCTTTCTAAGGTTTGACTGAATGGGAAGGTTTAGCTATCACACCCAAGCTGGGGCACTACAATACCTCTGTCCAAAGTGCTTTAAGACTCTGAGTAGCTCCTTATTTCAAGTGTAAAACAGAACAATATTATTGAGACTTAACGAATAGAATCTAGCCTCAAAGCCATACTCCTGATCACATTATGAAAAAAAAGAAAGATTTAAAATGAAAACTGCAAGGCCTTCATAGAAGGCATATTCAGCTGCTATAATGATACCACTTTTATGAGAGTGATTCACTTACATTCAGCTTATGAATACAAAATCAGGGGCGGATCTAGGGGGAGGGTGCAGGGGGTGCGCACCCCTCCCTGAGATGACCTGCGGTTTTCTAATACAACTGGTATTCTGCATTCTGGTTTATTGATGTTGAAATAGAGCAAGAGACGAGCGCACCCCCTCCTAAATAAAATCCTGGATCCGCCCCTGAAAATGGCTAAAACAAGTCATACCTAATTAGAACTTCTTGGTCATAGACATAAACTCTCAGAGGATCAATAGATGTAAGTACAGTGTACAGTCCAATGTCAAACTTCCGTTTATCAATGAGAAGTGGGTTAGCAATGTACTCCTGGATAAAATGATCGTCAGATCCCTTGTTCAGATCCAGTTCTGTCAAAAGAAACCATAAAAATGAAGACAAAATTAGACAGGAATTATACACTCATGAACTAGGAAATCTGAGTAGTACCTTTAAGAGACTTGATTCGTATTCCTCTATGATTATTACTCTTCTCCACCCACAGTTTCTGGGGATGGTTTTTTATCTGTAAATCATAAAACTAGCTGAGAATATTGAATCAATATAATAATAATGATGATGATGATGATTTATGTCTTGTTAATATGACCAGTCATATTATTAAGAAGACAATATTGCCAATCTTAAGTTTGTTTGGCCAGGCAACATGACCAGCAGATGTTACTTTCAGCCCTGCAAGCCTTGAATGTCCGGTTTTGGACGTTTCAACAAAAACTGCTTATTATAAGGTCAGCAGTTCAAATCCTGAGTTATGGCCCCAAAAGATCTTTTCAAACTTTTAAGGTCCATTGGTTGAACATATTATTCTGTGGTATACATGTATGTTATTTAACAATTATTCCACAAGGAGGGCGCGTTGGATATGAGATGATAGATAGGCAACGAGGCGCGTAGCGCCGAGTTGGCTATAATCATGTCATATCCAACAAGGGCGAGTGGAATAATTGTTTTATTAAAAACGCCCACAAAATCTCTTTGAATCTCCCCGCCTAGAACAAACCGGATCGCTGACAAGGGACTTCCGCTATTCACATGTCACACGTATATCAAAACTGTCAACGCGCGAGCGGATTCGCCTGGACTGCATAAATGAAAAATCAAAACATTGTAGCGATGAGCATTAGTTTTTTAAAAACTCATCAGGATTCTAGGATTTTACACAGCAGAACAGCTAAAAAAACCTGACAGATAATGTGAAGGAAAAGAATTTTTAAGTGACAGCCGTCGAAATTACTGTGAATTTGGATTTTCGGTGCAGTTATAAAAGTAAGAACAACGGAGAAAAACTATTACCTCGGTCGCTTGTTATGAAGTTGTTTGAAGCCACAAGCTGGTTTTGCTGAACGAGAAAAGAAGCTATACTGCCGCCTCGATTGCTCTAGTGAATGGCTGCATAGCCTGTATTCTCAGCTGGTTAGCTGGTTACTTGTGATTTATATTCTTGATGTCGGATAAACAAGCCGCAGTTATCTATCGGTGAGTGACTCGATCGGCTAATGGCTTTGCGATCATGAAGAAACAACACTTGTCATCTTTCATAGCTGGTCAAGGTACTTTAGTTCCATGTATTTTCATGTGTTTTTCGACAAACTTTCAAACAAGCTCTTGTGGCTTTTTTGTTTGTTTTTGTCTTTTTTCTTTCGACGAAATCGCATTTCTAGTATTCTAAGAAATGAACTAAAACAATTTGCTTCGGGCGCCGTTCTATCCTTCGCGAAAAAAAATCTCAGCTGGCTTCCAATTTTAAACTGACGCGTACACCAACCATATATGGAGAGCATGGTATAATAGCTCATATACCATAATGGCTAAGCCAATCAAAATGCTAGAATTGCATTATCCAATGATTCAGTTTTTAATAATACATGTGATAACATGTTCTTAATTAATAGTGAATATTGAACTTGCCTCTTCCAAAAATTTGTCAGAATCCTTTGGTATCACAAAGGCTGGTGGAATAAATGGAAAGTGATTTACAGCCAAGCTTACTTTGTTTGTTATGTAACCTGATCCAGGAAAATGATTAATCTGGAAGAAATAGATAGCATAATTTACAGAATAAAATACTTTGGTAGTCTCAAAAATCTTTAAAAAAAGATAAAGGATTAAAATAGTATTTTACAAGGCTAAATGGTTTTTAACAATTTAAAACAACCAAACAATTTCAGGTACAGTGGAACCCCACCTAACAGCCACCTCAGTAATATGGTCACCTCATTACTACAACCACTTTTTTTGGCCCGGCAAAACAGTCATAGATTTTCTTGTAAAAAAAAACGTTTATTCGATCACACATAAATACAGCCAAGTCGGCCATGTTTTCAAATCCCAAACAGTAGAATCTTTTACCCAGTTAATGTGGCCACTTGTATGAAATGTAGAAAACTAAAGTGCCTGTGACATGTTAATGTCAGTGATCTAGCAAGAGCTTGTTCTTGTTCTGTCTTTAGACTACAGTACACTTAAAATGCATTTCTCGCAGTTAAATGGCAGTGTTTTACGTACTAAAAAAAGTTTCAAGTAGTTTTTGCAATTACTGTACATGATATCTACATTCCAGTTGTTTATTGGAGAGAACAATTGTTCATATTCATGAAGGAAACAAAGGAAATTGAGAATCAATCTAGGTTAAATCAAAATTAACCTGAAATCAAATTTGACCTGTAACATATACATGTAAAGTCAGTTATAGTTCAGCCTCTCGCAGTTCAGATTCCAAGAATAACAAAAGTATGCATATCAGTGAGTTTGATAAAAAAGAATGAGAAGTAGAGTTTTAGTTTGGTTTAATAGAGTGCTTATAATGCTTTTTCTTTACTCATGCATAATTTGAAGAATACAGTAATGACTGTTATACAGACAGACCACATTTAAGAGGGAAAGATCAACTTTTGGTCATTTTCAATGAGGTTTTAATAAGCTTGCTATTATATCTAATAAATTCCTAACCTTTTGATGAGGTTCTAAATTTTGCAGCATTTCTTTAAGTTCACCAAATGGATAATCATGTGACCACATGACATCAAAAAGTCGATTACGTGATTCTGTCCGGGTGTAACCAATGCGGCTGAACACAGCTATCACATGATTCAAGTAGCCTGTTCTCAGCTGCAATGAAAGTTAGAATAATGCACTGTTTATGACCGTACTTTTCCTGAAATTTGTACTTCTTATTTTGAAGCGTCTACAGTCTGTCTTTCTGTTAAAAGTTGCACAAAAATATTAAACATACCTTCATGAGTGAGATATGGATAGGAGAATCTATGCATAGTTTTAGATAATCATGCACGTATAACAAAGACATATTTATTGCAGGTACAAAAAGAAAAAAACAATGAGGATTTTTCAAGCAATTAATTTGTTCAACAAATGCAAAGCCTCTCTGAGTTCAACAGACGAGAAGACGCTGCAAAGTCCATGACTAGTAAAGGTTTCTTACATTTTTGCCATTAATCCAAACAATTGGTCTGCTTGAGCTTCCAAACTCGGGATCACCAACAGCCAAACCAGCATTTATGCTTCTTAGCTGATAAATATTTATTAGAATAAGAAGCACACCAAAGCACAGGCACCCCATCATAAGGTACATCATACGCTGAGTCATGTGGAATCCAAGATGAGGGTGCGGATGATACTTGGAGTTATCTGATGCATACTGCAAACAAAAAGACAAACATCAGTCATGGAGGGGCAACATGTACAAGTATATGTCTACTATGGGCTGATTACATCACAACAAACATTAATCTTCCTATAACTTACAACTATCAGTCTCCATATCAACTAAGGCAAAACTACATTTTTCATGTAATGTGCTGCACTTGTACAGTCAAATACAATTATTACTTATATTAGTAACCTTTCTAGAGGCCATGCAGAGGATTGACCCTTGCTAGCAGAGTTTTCTTTGCTGCTACCGTTATATGTGTTTTAGCCAAGAACAAAAATGTAATGAAAACTCTACCCCGTGATTTAAGGCAGAACTGAGCATGCACCACTGGTGTTGCTAAGTGACTAAACAGTTTAGTGCATGCTTTTTAAGCCCACTGAACATGATGATGTGAATACTCTGTGATGCATGAAACAAACAATTGCAAGGCTGTTTTGAATAGGTATAACAGCAAACAAAAGCCGCAAAAATATTACAATCATTTTTCATTATCAATCATGAAGAATTTTTAACCCCCTATTTTTGTGGTTAGAAATAAAGTTTTACGAGATCTCTTACTTAAGGATGATATATTTGTTCACGTTCAATTTTAATTTTCACTTCTCTGTTCAATCAACCATCTCAAAGCATTCACCAAATTTGATGAGTCATCCTGTGTAATAACCAAGACAAAAGCAGTAAAATTTTACACTTTCCATTTGAGTTTAGTCGTCCAGTTTACAGAAAAAAGAAATAAATTAAAAAATTGGATTTTCAAAATAACCCCAAACTGAATAACACATAAAAGGCATAAAATAACAAGACGAGTTGTCAAATATCGCACTTTTTCAGATTAGCGATAAAAAATTAAGGGGCCATGTCAAAAGAACTGTTTAATTGTTTGTGTTTTGTTTAGCCATAGCTAGTATGGTTTAGCTGACGGCGCGACGTAAGGCAGCTGTCATCAAAAAATTCTCAACACAGAAACGACTCTATGGCAATAAATTCCGCAAGGAGAAAAATTACAATTACAAAAAAGGATATTCGTTCGTTAAGTCCTAAACTAAGTACTAAATTAAGTCCCAACTTAGTATTCCATTCATCATATTCTGTCTACTATTTGTAATAAACAAGGTAAGCAAAAAGTAGCCAGCAGCAACTGAAAGTTTAAAAACAAATGAGAAAAGGCAAACTTGCATTGAGTCAGCCAGTCGATATTTTAACAAAAGAGCCGTTTTTTTATCTTCCACTCTGTTGCCTTCACCTTGTTGCATTTTCTTACCCTAAATTCTGATGAGCGTTTAGAAGACTTCCAGGGCCACATTGTAAAAGAACAAATCAAAACGGTGCACTGAAGTAACTGAGCGTGGGTAAAATGAGCTTGCCAAATGGCAGCGGTTCGTGACAGGTTCGCTCACGTGCGTTGTTCGAATTTTTTTCCAGCCTGAAAGTCAAGTTGAAGTAATGCGGTCATAATATTGGCTCTTCAATTCTTCGTAAATAATTGAGCTTTATCCGTTTCCTCATGAAAGGCTATGGTATGATATTCAAATGAATTTCGAACAACAGGAGCAAAGAGATTTCACCTGTTTACATGTACCTTGCGTTAAACACTTCTTGCGAACACCGCGGCAAAACGTCTACGCATGCGCCAGATTGAGCATTTCCGGTCTCTTTTTCAGTCACACTTTCCAGTCAAAGTCTCCCGCGCGCTTCATTCTGTGTGCAGCTTGTGGTTCAGTTGTTCTGCTTTATGCTGCTCGTGTTTTTGTTTTGTAGTTATTGAAATTGCTTTTATGGATAGCGAGGCACAGATCACTGAAACAATCAGTCGATTAGATTCAGAAAAGGTAAGATGATAATAACTCAGTGTGTAATTTTGGCTAGAGCGTCAGGTAAACTGATTTTCATTCACGAAAATAAAGTTTTTGACTGTTATTTTCACTTAACCTGGCTAAAACTAAGACATAAAATTAAAACGTTATCATTGCAAGCTTGTGTATTGTAGTTCTAATTTTTAGTTCTTCAGTTTCTCAGTCTAAAAGCCGATTCAAACTTTATTTGGAAAACGACAACACACAATCGCTTTGTAGTTTTGTTTACCAGTGGGTTTTACCGTGTTTTAAAACGAAACTCTTCTGGGTTGATTGCCATGAAACATAAGCTTAATTATACTGTTGAGCCGGTTGACAGCAAGTTGACAACTCTATTTATTTATTTTTCCATTCTCAGAATCAGAGAGCGAAAGCTGGTTTAGTGGCTTTTAGAAGTCGAACTTTTCATGCCATGTATTTAGAAGCTAGAAGTTTCGTGTTTGCATGAGATGCAGCCGAGCCGCACAGTCTGAAATTATTGAAGGTCTTGAAGTCTTCAACAAAAGAACAACCATGTAAAAGAATTAAATAGGCATTTTCTTGAATGAAAGTCATTTATAGGCATGTTTAGTTTCCCGGTGACTGCAGTCATCAAAGTCAAAGTTGTTATTAAATCCCGCCCATCTTTTGTTTTGAGTTCTTGTTTTCTCTGATAATAAAACAAATTATTGAACGGACTAAAATTTTATTTCCTGGTTTTAGTGTTTTTTATGATAATGATGACGTCTTTATTTTGGTTTCTTTCATAAGTATTGTTATTCTTTTCTTAGTTGTCGCCTTCTCCCAAATTAACTTGCCAAACCAGTAGCATGCAAGAAAGCCAGTAAAAACAAATTCGTCTTGTCGAGCGCTCGCGACCTGCAAACTTCAAACATCATTTTCACCGTTGGTGCAAACAGATAACCATGTGGTGCAAAAGTTTGAGAATAGAAAAATATATAAGCTTTCGAATGAAGTGATTTTTTTGGCCCCCTTTTTTGTCTGTTTCGCCCTTTTTGCTTTTAAACTTGGCGCGACGGCAAAGTTATGCTTACGCTATTGGTTTATATACTAGACCGGAAATAAAAAGTTGACCGGATATTAAATTTTGTGCTCATGCGCATTGCGTTTTGCCGGGGTGTTCTTCTTGCGTTACTGAAAGAGCTGAGAGAGACTGGTAGCGACGTTTGGTAGGTACTTCATATATGATTCCTACGTTTGTATTTTACCGCTGACAAATTTTTCGATTACACAGCAGGAGCAGTCATAGTCGCTTTCGTTCCTGGTTCACAAACTGCAAACGAACTCGCTTTTCAAGACCTTAAAGAAAGGCAACAATGAGATTTTTCTTAGCCTTCAAACCCCTACTGCCAAAATTCAGTGGGTATAATCCGACTTTGCCGAAAAACACCCTTTGGAGGAAGTTGAGAGGATCAGACAACATAGCAACATCATCAGCACCCGAGGGGGGTACTCCCGCGAATTTTGGATAGGGGTGTGCCGCAAAGGTTGGTGAACTCTAACCCTATTTAAGGACTAAGAAAGGGAAAACTGATACCCTTTTTCAGGCCCAAAGCCGAAAAATGACACCCTATTCAAGGAAAAAACAAAATTATTAATAGCATGAAAAGAAAAACTTTATTTTTTCTCTGTAACATTGGATGTATAGCATTAAGCATAAAATACTAGAATAAGCCTAGTTTAATAATATACAATCATAACCATGATACATCTTTCAATACTTTTTCTTTACTGCTATTATTTTGTTATAGAACTGCAACAAGTACAATAATCTTGTAAGATCTCAGTACAAATACGATCGTTAACAATATCCGGCGATCTTAAATCATGATGAACAAAGCTAACAGAACTAAAAGCCGAAAGCAAATAAATCAAAAAAAATTCTTGTGGAGGTTAGGCTTCCCATAGTTCTAATCAACCTCCGCCCTTTTCAATAAAAAGAACGATACCCTGAGGTGTATACTTCACAAGGATTAGAATATATACAATACTCCTTGCTACCCTATCTAAGGACCACACCAGGGACACAGAAACAAAAGGGTCAAAACAGATACCCTATTTAAGGACCGAGAACCTCAAAAACCATACCCTATTCCGCGGCACGTACCTATGTAGCCTATATATGGGAGTACCCCCGGGCATCATCATCATCATCATCATCATCATGACTTAATTAAAATGTCAATATAGCATTTAGCTGAGGGAAAAACCCTCTGCTAATAGGGGACACCGAAATAAAACTAATTCTTAAATAACAATACACAATCCGAAAGAAATTAGCCTAGATAAACATTATTAGCTATAAAAGTGGCCTAGATGAACATTATATACTATAAAATTACACTGTAAATTACAATAAAATGATATGACTATTTATATTTCTCATGATTTCTTGTCTTTGTACAACCCCGAATAGCTTGTCCCTTTCATTTAGTGATCCCTCTACACCCTAGATCGAATTTCCTGTCACAAAAAGCTGGTGGTCATTGGCATACCGTGCACAGACAGATATAAATTGCTAAACGAACTGTGGGATTAACAGGTAAGTCATTTTGGAAATGTTCCACATGAGTGGTCCAAACGATGAACCTTGTGGGCAGCCTCTACCAGTATCCCTCCAACAGCTCATCACAGAATCTAACTTGTCTCTATTTTTTTCGATTAGCGAAGTATGACCTTATATAAAGTCTTATAAGGCAAAGCGCTTCCTGAGCTTCCTCCTGAGAAGCCATAATCTCAGCTGTAATCTTTGACGACTGATAAATTTACTGTTTGGAGTCAGCAGCCATTTTCCATTTCTCAGCAGTGTTGTTTCACAATCCATTTTCCTATATGCAGATAAGCAGTTATCAAGAATAGGGTTGAAAAAGGCATTGACTTGTGTGCTCAGCAATTGTTCATACACCTTATCCACATACCAACAGAGAATAAAGGGGACAGAGAAGGCATCCTCCATACACACCCTATTCAATAGGTAATTCGTCTCGAGTTATTTTTAAGACCACAGATCCCAATGGGGATTAGACAACAGCCAATCACATAGCGCAAATGTGTTCCTCGTGGGTGACCTACGCTCAGAGCCACGAGTCCTTCACGAATTGACGCTGAAAAAAATGGCGGAAGACGCGGCGAGCGATATTGCCATTCGTTTTGTCGACGAAAACGACTAAAGAGAGATTTCTGCTAAAGCTGTGTCAGCGAAACGGAAATTAAGAAAAAATCGCCCTTCCTCTCTTGTACAGAGCTAACAGTACAGCAGGGAAATCCTTAACACACTGAACATTCTCTCAGGATCATTTATAATTTACAGTTTGAAGAGAGCAATTTCTGGTTTTATATTTATTCTTTTATTAGTCTTTTATCATTCAACAAAAATAATACTTGGCGTCCTACTTGCTTTATTGTACAAACGACCGGTTTCAATAGACCGGCGAAATTTCTCATTTTATTAAAGCACTGAGGTTACGACAACTTCGAGTTAAACTGATTTCACGGGTTGTCAAAGAGTCCAGCGATTCCCTTTTCCCAGGTAAGCGCCGACTCATTTCGCTTCAATATTCAGAAATGCTCTCGATCTCTTTACGCTTTCATTGCCTTTCGCCCGACATGTTTTGCACGGCGTTTAGTCATGCGAAACCTCCACAAAACATCCACGCAGCGCGCGAGGTAACTTCAGCCCGATTCTAAAAATAACTCGAGACGAATTACCTATGGAATAGGGTGTATATGGGGGATGCCTTCTCTGTCCCCTTTATCCTTTCTTGACTATATTGAACAGTGTTATTGGCCGATAGTTGGTTCTTCTCAGTAGATCGATCCTCCTTTTTGTAGACTGGCTTCCACAAGCCTTTTTTCCATGATTCAAGCGAGGGTCCCCAACGGGTTTAATTGAAGCTCGGGATTCGGGATTCTGAAGGAAAATGGGGACAAGTATGCGCACGAGGTTGGATGCCAAGAATAACCATCCGGATTACGGGATTGCACGAAATTTTAAGTCGGGAACAAGGGATTGAAGAACCCTATTGGGAACCCTCTTAGGCCATTTACCTGATTGTATACTCTCATCGTATAGCTTTTGGTGTTTAGGTCTACTATACCGTTAGATCCTAGTCTCAACATATTACTGGTTTTCAGTGTCACGCTATTCAAAATAGATCAATATAAAAATCAAAACCGTTCAATAGATAAAGCCCAGAATCTGGGAGATGAAAGGAGGTACGTATACAAAGACCCTCGCCAAGATTCAGGTCAGAGGAATATTTCGTATACGAGATATCCGAAGAAATGTTTTGCCCAAACTTATAGAGATTTGTATGGAGACGCCATGCTGGTGCTCACCTGGATGAGCTCCAACATGGCGGACGGAAACCAATAGAAACATCTGTTACCATGTTTGGCTATAAAAGTGTGAATTTATTCTTCGAGAAACTCATAAACATTAAAGTAATACTTTTTCTAATACATGAACTGTTTAGATAGCAAACTTTTCTGAAATAAGTCATTTTTTTAACCTACATGACAGCTCTCTTGGCCGTCACGTAAATACCGCGTCACGCAAAAGCTTAGAAATTCAAGCGTACTCTATCACAAAACCAAGAGCCCTTTTGAAGCGAAAATTTGTATGAAAATTAGTTTTCAGCTGCTCTAATGCATCGTGAAAGTAAAATCTCGGTAGGATCGATAGTTTTTAGTTTGAATTTTAGTGACGTCATGTGAAAACCAACAATTCGGAGAGATGTGATCATATCCAGATGATTTTTCGATATTTGGATTCTCTAAAGCTGACTTAGACCGCGACCGATCCGTTGGAAGGAGAACTTGGAACCATGTACCTGTCACAGCTTTCTCGGCGATGTCAATGACACTGGAGTGGTTAGCTAGCTAAGTCTTCCTCTATTAAGCTGCAAACCCCAGTCCCACCAATGTAATTTGCCATTGTAGAGACTGATCAACCAAGATATTGGCTACTTTTTTTGCTGATCTTTCTTCAAAATTTCCCCGTGTTTTTGATAGTGATGTTTCTCTCATTTTGGTTCGTGCACTTCAGTGTCACTAAGAAAGGGCTTAAAGGTTTTATAGAAGCCACTCGGGTGAGATCTAAGGTCTTCAGCCTTTTTCATCGTAATAATAGTCATAATATAATAAATATATGTCATTCACCGGCTGCAAGGTCCGTACTGGGAGAAACTGTGCCCGAGGTCTCGAGTACCGCACGAGGCCGTAGGCCGAGGGCAGTTCTCAGACCGAGGGCACAGTTTCTCCCAATACGGATCAACCTAGGCCGGTGAATAACATTTTTATTTTTTTCCTACTGAGATTTAAAAGTTTCAGGAAAATTTTACTACAGCCTCGAACCTATGTTTGTTGAAGAAGGGGGCGTTCGTGTTGATGTTATTCAAAGCGCGCAATCGATTGCAAACCAAAACAAAACATTACAACATGATTTTTAACTTGTAATTTGTATTATTATTCATTCAAAATATTTCCCCGATTCTGATTGGCTAAAAGCACACGCATAATTCACCATAACCAGTTTCTGATGACCAAATTTGGAAGAATTTTGTGTTAAACGAGGAAATGACGTCAAAAATGCAGCGCTCGTGCAGGTTAAGGCACCGTTAACCGAGAAGACCTGGGGACGAGGTTGAGTTGTTTTGGTTGTGAACTTGAAAATTGCGGACATTTCACTCGTTTCAAGAGTAAGAAACTAGGCGAAAAAATAACTAAAAACATGGCGAGAACAGCAAGAAGACAACTCGAAGAGCGACATCTGCTATTTGGAGAATATTTGCAGAGCTGGACAAACCTAAACGTGCACTATCGAAGATGAACTTAACATCAATGGTTCGATGGAGGTAGGCATGTTTTTAAACTACGAATTATTTAACTGAATAATAAAACAATTATTGAATTCGGCTTTCGTATCATATGAAGAATTATGGCGATCTCGGAGAGTGTTATCCGCCTCGGCCACCGGCCTCGACGGATAACACCCTCCTCGATCTCCATAATTCTTCATAAGATACTCAGCCTCATTCATTAATTGTTGATTATCACAATTAAGCTCTCTTTTAGAATAAAGAAAGGTTTTTGTGTCTTGGTAGACAATTCATAATCTGAGTGTCAAACAAGGATAAAAGAATTGACGAACTTAAAAGCCACAGGAAAGAAAATACATCGGTTTAAGTGGGATTAAGACTGCACAAAGGCTTTATAAAAAGAGCTAATTACACACACCAATCTTAGGGTTTTGAAGTGAATTCGAATAAAAGAAGGCGCTGTGGGTAACTAAACAAGTATATAAACAAAGAAATAAAAACGGCGATAACCGACTGCTGGAAAAGTTGTTCGTGTTGTTTATTCAAGATTGAAAGCTACATGCAATCGTTGACAACAACCTTTTCTGAAAAGTAGAAAACTAGCGAGGCAAAATTCAATGAAAAACGGCAGAATCTAGATTCAGACAGCAAAAATGGAAAACAAACCTACAGACAGAGGAAAAATGCCAAATAAACGGTTCATGAGAGCAAGACTGCAGTGCTTACAGCGTAGGTTAAAAAACTAGTGCAGCGACATCACGAGCAGCCTGTTGTGCTTGCGGTTTTCCTGGCTGACTTGTTTGATTATACTTTCAGTTGTTTTGTCTGTATTTAACAAAATTCACTTTGGCTAGCTAACGCTAACAATAGCGCAAGTTTTAAAAGAAAAATGGTTCTGAATCACCGGTTTTGCTCATTCACAACAACAAACAAACCTGTGAATGAAGCTGCCAACGATTCCGCCCAGATTAGCGGGCAAGATCGTAAAAAACTGCCCGCTCTCGGAACCAATCAGATTGAAAGATTTGGAGGATTCCGCCCGGTCGCAAGCTTAGAAAAAAATATTAGTATTTATTGCCAAAAGATAAAAGTACATATCTTTTGTTACATTCTAGTTGCCTATACACTCAATAAAAATATACGTACCCTAAAAATTAACCTAGTTAAACTACAAATGGATGATAAAATACTACGTAGAAACTACCTTATCTTGTGTTTAAAAACTGATCTGTCTATTTACATAAGATGTCAAAAATCGTTCGGTATTAACCTTGGGGAGGTCACACTGTTTTTTTTTTTGCGCAGATAATATATTTATTCTCCTTTGTTGGTGGTAAATACGAGCGTAGCGGATGGTTAGTCTGCAGAGGCAATAGCTTTTAAAATCTTGCAGTCCTCTCTATATAAAAGATCATTAATACAAAACTGGAGAAGAAACAAAGCGGTGCTTGTGGCAGCGATCCAAAAAAAGTGTAATATTCAAATTCATACGCTCCATACACAGAAAGGCAACATGTAAAATTCGGTAGAACTAAGCACTTGAACTAAATGGTCTATCTCTACTTGAGAGTATTACTCCCTTCTAAGAGACCTTAAAACATGCAAACATCTGTTTGCTTTGACTAATTTCAGTCTTACATGTTCAGAGGCGGATCTATGGGGAGGGTGCAGGGGGTGCACCCCCCTGAGATGACCTGCGGTTTTCTAATACATCTGGTATTCTGCAAAAAAAACAAAAAAAAAAACTATGTGGTTTATTGGTGTTGAAGTAGAGCAAGAGACGAGTGCACCCCCTCCTAAAAATCCTGGATCCGCCCCTGATGTTCACTGAAATTGCAGTTACTTCTGTTACTTTGAGGGTAACACCTAGTAACGACGAGTGATTACACTGTGGAATTTTGCAAATTTGCTCATAATGTGTGTTATTGTTCTTCTTCCTAATAACGAGTTCCTTGCATTTGCTAGGGTTACAAATCATATTATTCTCTCTAGACCAATTTAAAAATAGTTCTGCTAAACGGTCAGACGGATCAGAATTACTGCCTACTGGGGGGCTATGATAGTGGAGTCGTGTGCATATTTAAAAAGGACCGGAACGTCATTATGAAAAATATTTAAATCATTAAGAAAAACACTGAAGAGGTAAAGGCCGCTAACACTTCCCTGAGTCGTTCCCTTTGTTGACTGCCTGCCAAGTACAAACATGGTTACCAGATGAAACACGCTGTTGTCGTTCATGCAAAAAACTGTGGTACCAGTTAACTATGTTGGGGTTTAGCGGTAGCTGCTTAAGTTTTGCAGAGAGTAAACTGTGGTTAACTGAAACGAATGTTTTGCTAAAATCCATAGTAAAGATACGAACTGCCTTGCAGTCTTGATTGTCCAAATATTCAGTATAAACATGATGTTGAATAGATATTACTGCGTTCGCACAGTTTAATACCCCCTTGCCTGTAATCAAACTGGGTGGGGGTCAAACATTCTTCAACAGCTTTCCTCGCATGCGTATGATATACAACTTTCTCGAAAGCCCTGGCAATCACAGGTGTGACATTGTTGCTAATACTCTCTAACTGCTCTCCGTCTATATTTCGTAGCCGCATTTCTCCATTTTCTTTTCAATTCTTTCCTTCAATCTTTTTTTTTTTTTTTTTTTTTCATACTGCTTTGCATATTTTCTCTTCATCTCTATAGCTGCTTTCCATTCAGATGTCATATATAGTGCATCAGTTTTTCTGAATCTCATTTTCTTAGTTGGCATGGCTCGCTCCAGTCCCAACTCGTTTTTGAGCCGTATTAATTCCGCCCAAAGAGAACCAAAACTGCCAAAACCTTGTTTACAACTTAACCACTACGTTGCCTTTTATTCCTGGTGGTTGGAAACTACAGAGCCAGTGCTCTTGAGTTGGACATCTTGATCGGCAATGATTCAATTTTTAATTACTTTGATGCGGGGTCAGTGATAGCGCTGACATTGTATTGGCGTTACATGCACATTTCAAAACAATCATATTTTATATTTAGGAAAACAAACTGGCATATACTCTGCACTGTAGTTTTGTCTGGCACCGGATATAAGGCTCTACAACAACCACCATGGGAGATAATGACTGCATTATGAAAAGGTCTTATCGTAAAAGGACTAGGTAAGGTTAAAAGATGATATAGAATCATTTTTTCAGAGATTCAAGAAACAGGCTCAATGATGAATTAATCAGCCGGCTTGCTTCGGACTTCCGAATTGCGGAGAGTCTAAAATATACCTAAATAAGGTAAACAAGATGAGCATTATGTTCCGCCTTTTTACTCACTATTTCAAAAATTGTTGTTGTTTTGGTTCTGTTTTAAGTTATCATACAATGAAACTAGGGAATAGCCTGGTGAAGACTGACCAGCCCATAGACTGAATTGACTCAATATTCATACCTTTCGAGGAACGAGTGCGGCCTAATGGGTGAACCTTCTAAGCTGGGATATTATATTTAGCAAAAAGTAAGAAAATATTATTACTCGGAAAGGTGAAATGAAGGTTGATAACTGAACTACCATCAGCATTAGAAAATGGAAACTGTTACTGAAACTGACCCCATGAATAAATTCTAAACGAATTGTGATCTTTAAGGAAAATAAAACATCAATTTAAGGCAGCTTATAAAAGACAAACAATAGTAACATTCTAAAACATACACCAGTTTTCTTTCAGAAATCAAGCAGCCGTATCTAAATGTAAATAACTTTATCTCGGTTAAGGTTATATCAGGCATGGGAAAGGCTAATCTGCCCACGAACTGGCACTAGAGGGGGGTTTCAATTTTGATTTTAAATTTCGAATTCTTTCTTCTGATAACTTATTTTTCGCTACGGAAATTTTACGGTATGTTTACGTCAAACGTCGTTGCTCTCAGAGGAAGTGAGGGAATGTTATTATCATGAACAGGTGCAATTTAAAACAGAGCCCTTACTGATTATTCAGTCATCAGACAACACGTGAAGAGCGACTGACAACAGACCTCCGGGCGAACCAAAAATTATCGCCTTTAGTATGCTCAGTAGTATCTCAATCAACCTTGGAACATGAAAAAATCTTCTTAAAAGGTTAGATTTGTTACAGTTCCTTTGGTTTTTCTGTCAAATTTTTTCTGCAGGATAACGATGAACTAGACAGCCAAGTGTTCCCTTGTCCGAATTTAAGTGTAATTTTTAAACAGAAATCATGAATTTTACTCCAAATTTTTTTCAAGGTTACCTAAACAAGCCGAATATAGAATGGAATGTTTCTGTTATGTTTTTATATATGCCTGCATATTTCAAGATAGTTGATCGATGTGAAAGCTTTTCACGTCGGCTACAGAATATTAATAGACTCTTAAAATTTAAAGCTTTTGCAGGTGGCCTTGCGTTAATGACTGAAAGATTTTTTCTCGAAAACCATACTTACCATGGCAATTAAACAAATACATCGTTTTTATGCGGCACCAACCGTCCAAAATGTTTGTATAGAAGTGTGAACTATCATTTTGAGAAGTATGAAATTAATTGCTAAGTTATTCTCTATCTCCGTATTTAAGTGGGCAATACAGTGGAACCTCGATATAGCGAAGGGCCAAGGGACTGGCGACGACATTTACAGTTCGCTATAACGAGGTTTCGTTATAGAGTGCGTCCTCGATATAACGAATCGCTATATAACAAAGTCATCGGTATAACGAACGACGTTCTTTAACCCAGCAAAAGCGAATATATAAGAAAGAACCTCGATACATGTATAACGAAACCTCTTTAGAGATAACAAATGTCGCCAGTCCTTTGACCCTTCGTTATATCGAGGTTCTTTTTGACATATTTTAATACGTACTATTGAGGGCCAGAAAATCGTTCGTTGTAGCTAGAACTTTCCTATTTCAGTAGAGATTCGTTACTTCGAGATTGCACTGTAACCTATTTAATTCCATGTTTCTTTTTCAAGGAGAGGGTGATCCTAGGCTATATCTCTTAATAAAAGTCTATCGTCTCCTCACTGCCCCCTCCCCCAACCCTACGGGCTTACAGACGTCAATTAGTTGCATGAGAGGAAGGGACCTCTGGTACCCAGGGTAGGGATTTTGGAAATGAAACTATAAATTCATCACGCACGGGCTAACCTTCATTGGTTATAAAGATTTTCATGCCGAAAGCGTATTCATCCACTCCCGGGGGAGCACTTCCTTATTTAGCCTAAACGGGTATGCGCCGCTGAACAGGGTATGGGTTGTTAAAACAGTGTATAAAATTTCAGAATTTATCATCTTGGACGTCTTTGGACCGGAAGCCTTTAAAAGAGTGTGAAGGTTGGTGATCATGAGACGCGGTTTACATGTGTACTTACCAACATTTTTTTCCAAAATCTCATTCCATGTTAATTCTATGTTAAATAGTTTTAAAATCGCTGAAATATGTATGCGAAACGAAAGAAATCAGGGTCATGAAATTACTTTTCTTGTCTTAATCAGGGTGGCGTAGCACATGAACCACAGAGTCAAGGTTTGAAGGTCTCAGTGACACACCTCTGCACGCAAACTTCCGTTCTAAAAGTGCTCCCCGGGTTGAAATGTGGTTATGGCATTACAAGCTATCTACTGATGATAAACTGCCACTCAGCTGTCGTCACTTACATCAGGCACTTGACAGGTTTCACCAAAACATCATAAAAAAGTCTTTAAAAAACTGAAACTAAACTCTGGGCTTGAACAGCTTTAAATATGGCCAGGTTGTTACCGCTATGGGTCTTAGAGCATAAGATCAAACTGTTTTTTTGCGGCGAGAGACTTTAAAAAAATTTCTTTTCGCAATTATGATGTTCTAATCTTAGCATGGGGCACTTGTATTTTTGTCATTCCATTATTTATTTTGTATTTTATGTATGGGCTTTTGTCATTCCAAACTCGGTTTTTATGACCAATATTTTATGTTTTTAGTTTTTCCTGGCGGGGGCAACTGCCCCCTTCGCCTCCCCCGCTATGTACGGCCCTGGTTGATCCGAAGCTCAAGTCAGCCCTTAAAACTAAAGATAAGATAATTAATGTAAACGTTATTAGGGTTACGTTAGCTTTATTTTGAGGCAAAAGAAAAAACAAAAACATTAGTAGGCTTAGAAAAGTGTTTTGTTAGGTAAATGTTGTATTTTTATATGACTGTTAATTTAGTTTCCCATACTGATTATACGACTGGAGGTGAACAAAGCGGTACATTACCATGTCAAGGGAAGCAAAGTGCTCGTACCCCAACAAATTCTAAGTTTAACAGCTAAACTAAGTGAAAAGCCACAACAAGGGAGAATCAACCCTTCAGGCAAACACCACGAGATGATGTACGATGTAGGCATTACGTTTGAAGTCGGGCGAAAACAGCTCTTGTCCAATGAGCGTCGACTTGAATTCTCGTGCAATCTATCATCACTCAAAAATAGCTAAAAATGAGTGAAAGTTTAGTTGGATTTCGTTATAAAAGGGGGCCGCGGTTACAGACCTGAATTTAGCAGTAATTCGATCAGTACGTCGATAGGTCAGTTAACGGCGATAGCAAGTGAAAGTGTGTTTGCTTATCTGATTTCTTGTGGTAGCCCAGCTTAGCCGTAATGTTCGTGTCCAAACGTAAGAGGGGAAATCACAGGGCCACATCAGTCATGTAAGTTTTTTGTGATTTTCGTCTTTTTGTAGTATTTTTTGTGCGAACTGCTTATAAGACTAAGTACATGAGACTGGACCTCAAAGGGCAAAGCTAATATTTACAAGTTTCATGTAAATTCGTACAAAGATAATTAGTCTTTAGGGACGCCGCTCAAAAATAACACTCAGCATCAAAAGTGAGCAAATAAGGCGATATGAAACGCAGATGAGGTCGGGTACAACCAGCGCAATTTCTATCGAAGAGAATTGGCTCGTTTAGAAGATTGTAATCAAATGCTTAAGACCGAAGAAAGCTCAAACCACGAGAGCCAAACGAAAGGAAGGACCCGTCGTTCATTTTCGAGATTGGCAAGCTTGCAACGGACGAATCGTAATTGCATATCTTCGCCGATGAATTAATTAAACAAAGATAAGGTCACCCTACTTAAGATATCAGTTTTTTTCAACGATGAAGTGATGACGTTTGCGTTTTGAACAACATCCCCTGAGTTTATTTGTTTCGTTCATTCGATATGTATGCGATCCGCGTTCTTTTTGAGGCCCAAAGAAAACTTGTTTCAAAGGTAACAAAATGGAAAGCAATTTTAAAAGGATTTTTGAAGACAAAATATCAATGTTTCCGCTTAAAGATACGAACACTATTGTGCCATACATCAGAAAACTACCACACAAGCGATAAAAATGTCAAACTATCACTCAGAAGTCGGGGGCCATAACGACATTATTTTCATTTTCATTAAATATCACGACCTTAAAGAAATCCACTTTAACTTTAAAAATTACAAGTTTGACACCATAACACTTAGGGGTCTGACACCAAACGAGCGCTCTTCAAAAGATCATCGCTCGAGGGGTGTTTGTTTGCAAGAAAAAGATTTATGTGTTTACTCGTGTATTTGCGAATTGATTTAGCGTCAGTTGAGAGCGAGATGCCTTCTAGCCCCAGGGCAACAGGCTAAACGCGTGTCTACTCGTTTGACAGTTTGCTATTGCCGTGCCGGCCATATGCATAGTTTGTCAAACGTGAAACGCTCTCCAACAGGCATCAGCTGGCTGGTGAAAAATACTGAACTTATATAATGTTACACATTTTAAAAGAAACTAAATTTTTACATATATTCGTATATTAGGATCCAAGAGTCAACTGAGCCTGAGCCACGAAACAGTCCAGTAACTCATCGCGTTTTTCTTGACAACTCTAACTGCACGGAACAGGCTTCTCAGTCGCCTAACATGTCACGATCTCGATCTCGACTCTTTGATTCAGACAACCCTGGCGAAACAAGACTTTATTTAAACGTCGGCGGGCAAAAACACGAAACATTTGTCAGTACATTGGCTAGCATTCCGGACACACGTCTTGCATGGATAGCTGAACGTGCTATGAAGGATCCAAGACCGCTTGGGCAAAAGCGCGAGTTTTTCTTCGATCGAAATCCCGCTGTCTTTACTCATATTCTGAATTTCTACCGCACAGGCAAGCTTCATTGTCCAAGAGATGTCTGCGGGCCGCTCTTTGAAGAAGAGCTTAACTTTTGGGGGCTCGATGAAAAACAGATAGAGACTTGCTGCTGGGCCAAATACGATGAACATCGAGATGCCGAAGAAAAGCTTCAAGGATTTTCCCGTGAAGAAGATCAAGAATCCGAATTTGAAGATATCAACAGTGGCTCTGGTGATATTGAAATACCAAGCAGCGGAAGTGAAATATGCAGCGAATCTCGCCGACTTGGGGTCCATCGCACAAGACGTCTTTGGCAAACGATCAAAAAGAAAATCTGGAAAACATTTGACGACCCTTACTCGTCGAAGTTGGCTAGGGTAAGGTTGACAGTAAATAACACATAATCACCCTTTATGATGTATTTAGGGTTAATCTTTCACAAACCGGCCAGAATCATAGTACCCCCTCATGGTCGTGTTTGACAAACCCCCATAATTTGAAGAAATCTTTTGGAAGAAATCTTTTGACGCCTTTGCAATTAAAATGCATAACTAATATTGATAACGAAAAATTTCATTCTTTAAGTGAAAACTCAATAGTTAAAGCACAGTTTTCATGCACATGCCAAACTGCTCCTATGACAATTCTTCCGGGTCTGCGTTCCGTTTACAGATACTGATATTATTTTTCTTTCACGTCATTTCGCCCAGTTTCTCTTAAAATTCATAGGAACCGTATACGAAGCACAAAGTCTAGCCTCGTCAGAAACCATTTTTTTCTTCGTCTTTTACTTTTTGCATCAAATTAATTTAACTTGACTTGTTTTGCTTGGCAAAGAAGACGTGGTTGGAAATGTGAGTGCCCCATGCGCTTCAGTATTTGCTATCCTCTTCAATATCGCGGTTTATGAATACTGCGTATGCTTATTAATTTTCTATTGTACTTAGGTTTGTCTACTAATGGCTCGCCTAGCGTTAATGGTCGAGTTTTTGGTTTACATGTTTATTAATTTCACTGAAATAAAGCACTTACTTACTAACAAAAACGTTTTGAAAGAGGACATTATCTAAAACAAGAACAAAAGAAGTATCTTTAAATAACCATACGTTGAAAACTAGAAGGGTGATAAACGCCAAAACGATCAGGCGACAACGACATCGAAGAAAAGAGTAACCGAAAGTTTGTGAAGTGTCAACGGACAGGATTTTCTTCTTAATTTAGTCTTCGCACTGTTTGTACAATTTTCTATTTAGTTACGTCTTTTAATGAATTAAAATACATTTATTCTGTCAGTGATTGGCTGAGCCTAGACTTAGTGTCTAACATGGTGAAAACCGCTTCCGATTTGGTAGTGAAAAATGAATCGTTTCTTCCTTGAAGTGAACAGCAGAAGATATCGATACGCGAAAACAAAACCACGCATTGATTAAAAAGGCAAATTGTCTAGATCTCTATCGATAAAAAACAAAAAGAATACTCTATTTTAGATCTACTCTTCTACTCAAAGAATAAAATTGCATTGATCCATTTTAAGTAAAAACAAAAGTTTTTCAGATCTTCTGGCGTAAGTCAATCATTATATTCACTTTCTTCCTTATTAACCTTAAAATACGCCGTGCATTTGCATATAAATGTCTTGACCAATTCGTGAAAATGATCGAAGTCTTTTGTTTAAGCGTTAGATCTGTTCTAAGGCTTGAAAAGTTTGTTTGAATGTCCTCTTTCCTAAATCTTCGTCGCATTTTCAAAGCAACAGTAATTCACAATTTCCCACGTATACACCACCAACTTCCATTTTAATAACGACTTATTTAAAATGTAAAAGTTATGTAGTTTGTACATTGAAAATTCGACTTTGCCGCTGCGCCTGCTTATATATTCGCAGAAATTATTGATTGAATTGCAACGTTTGTCACATTTTTCTTTAAATAGTATTTTGCTAGGCAAAGAAATGACAAGATTAACTCAAGGAAACAAAAAAGTAAACCGCTCACTCTTTCATAAGCAATTTATTTGATTTCATCGAACGTTAGCTAACGTTATAAACTCTCTTTTTTTAAATTCAAAGTTTACTTTGAATACGAAACAAGGTATCTTGTAACAAACTAACCTCGTCTACGAATATAATTTTTTTTATCAATGGTAAGTGTTTCTCTTCAAATCAAGCCATCATTGAAAACACATAAATTGAATAAATTATATTTTCCCTGCCGTGTGATTGATCAACTGACAGAAACTTGATCAGTAAAGAACAAACAAAAACATCAACAAAAAAGATTAAAAGAGAAGACGTTAAAGCGTGAAATCCTTGTCTTTATTAGGCAAAGGCCCCGATCGTCGCACAGCTTATATACGGGTATCTTTTTCTCCGTTTTACCCTTCCGTCCAGACGTAAACGACGTTTTCGGGCACCAAAAAAGGCAGGTTTCCGAAAACTGTTCCCAGAGTGGAGTTTTTTTTTTTTAACGTGCCAGCTTATCTTTCTGGTGTGGACGGACGAAACAATGATGCCAGTCATGAAACAGCGCGTTCCCTGTAAGGAACGCTAACGTATTTCCATCGTTTTAGCGTTTTCATGTGAATTGGCGAATATGATTCGAATGCCTAAGGCCCGGTTCAGACGCCGCTCCACTCATGTGCGGGACCTAACTGATTGGTTCGACTTTGGAGCGACATTGGCGTGACATCTGATTCAGACGGCGCACCGTGTGTCGAACCTAATCTTTATTTCATGTAGGGTGACTCCGAGGGACTTATGGGAAGATTCTTAAATTATCATATTAAACGTACGCATTTGATTCGGCACATGAGAAGAACGCCGTATGAATCACCTGCCGCTCCAATGTCGAATAATGCGACAGACTCGAGCTCTGTCGAACTTAACGTTTTTGCCGCACCAAATTAAAACTGCCGTACCAAACTGATTCAGACGCAGCTCTTTTGCCATACTTAATTACTCAGTTAGGTTCGGCACATGAGTGGAGCGGCGTCTGAACCGGGCCTAAGCTACAAATCGGAATCACATTTATTTCAAAACGGGAGAAAAAAAACCCGTTTACAAAAATATCCGGACGCGTGTGGAACATAGTGTCCTAAGATCTATTGAGGAAAAAAGTTAGTTTCGAGGGAAACAAGAATAACCAGCTTACGAAGAAACACTTCTACCTCTACAAATTTATAAAAGTAAATCTCGCGACCGATAAATTCGCGGGCTACAGTGCACTGTTACCCTCTGGCGTTATAGACTTTACAGGGAGCTTATTTAAGCAAAAGGGGTTTTGAGAGACGCATGTCAAACGGAAGTGGACTCTTTGCATTCTTGGGCACTGGTGTTCCAATATTCTCGTCCAAATCGTCCCTATAAGAGAGCTAAAAATAAAAATATGTTAACGTCAAGGCATATCATGAAGGGGCCGAGAAGATTTCACTTCCAATTGACGTCTGTCGCTCAATTGTTACGGGGTGTCTACTTAAGAAAACTCGCACCGGCGCGAGTTTCATACCCGGATGAGTTTTTTATTTCGTATCGTGTTTACATTATGACTGGGTCTTTTCATATCTCGTTAGCTGAAGGTACACTTCATGTTGACAAAATACACGTAAGATTCAAAATCGCAAACATGCGTATGCGCTACCCGTTCCAGTCTACCAGCAGACTGATTTCACACCGAAACTTATGGTCGTTTAACGTTTGCGAGATTTCGCACCGGAGTGAAATTGTCGCTCCGGTACAACAACTGGGGTGAACTCGCGCCGGCATGACATTTTGTGCTGGTAACATGTAAACAAATGTAGAGCCATGAGGGGGAACCGGAGTGAACTTACTCCAGAGAAAAAGTCGCCCCGGTGTCATCTAAATACCCCCTTACCTGTAATTGTTCCTGTGCTAAACTCAATTGTTCCTTATGTCACCCGCAATTGTTCCTAATGTTACTAGCGATCGTTCCTTATGATACCCGCAATTGTTCCTAATGTTACCCGCATTTGTTCCTAATGTTACCCGCAATTGTTCCTTATGTTACCCGCAATTGTTCCTAATGTTACCCGCAATTGTTCCTTATGTTACCCGCAATTGTTCCTTATGTTACCCGCAATTGTTCCTAATGTTACCCGCAATTGTTCCTAATGTTACCCGCAATTGTTCCTAATGTTACCCGCAATTGTTCCTAATGTTACCCGCAATTGTTCCTTATGTTACCCGCAATTGTTCCTTATGTTACCCGCAGTTGTTCCTAATGTTACCCGCAATTGTTCCTTATGTTACCCGCAATTGTTCCTTATGTTACCCGCAATTGTTCCTAATGTTACCCGCAATTGTTCCTTATGTTACCCGCAATTGTTCCTAATGTTACCCGCAATTGTTCCTTATGTTACCCGCAATTGTTCCTGATGTTACCCCCAATTGTTCCTAATGTTACCAGCAGTTATTTTTAATGTTACCCGCAATTGTTCGTTATGTTACTAGCACTTGTTCCTGACGTTACCCACAATTGTTCTTAATGTCACGCACAATTGTTCCTTATCTTACCCGTAATTGTTCCTAATGTTATCCCCACTTGTTCCCTATGTTTCCCCGCAATCGTTTCTTGTTGCCCGAAATTGTTCCTTATGTTACCCACACTTGTTCCTTATGTTACCCACAGTTGTTCCCTATGTTCCTCGCAGTTGTTACTTCTGTTATCCGCAATCGTTCTTTATGTTACTCACAGTTGTTCTTAATGTTACCAGCGATATTTCCTTCCCAACTTTAGAAATGAGAAGGGAACTAGAGCCAAATTTCGTCTTGCGCCTTGTTTCAATTCTGGAATCGTTACTGGGTACGCGCCAATTAACTATTCGCCAATTTCTTTGCCCTCATCAAACGACTTATCTGTCAAACTTGATTGGAATGGCAGTGCGATCGTCGCTTTTATCTCTTAAGATCGTCTCATCAAAAGTGATCGTCGCGGGTTAAATGCCGTCGGAAATACCCTTAGATAGATAGATAAACCTTACTTCAACATTCAGATGGAAGAGCAACATTGTTGCTAGTATGTCCGAATGAAAAGAAACAAAACAGATTAATAAAACAATCGAGTGCGATCGATGACAATATTAAAAATAATTTTGACCACATGACTATTTACAACAATGTACACCATTAAAAAGAGGCAACAAATTGCATTACAATAACTTATAGTGTCGTCTAAGAATGGTATAAAACTACATATATTACTAGCAGTTCTTGCATTGTTAGTAAATTCCAGTGATTCGTCGCGAAATAAGTAAAGGAGGTTAGAGCATGCGTAGACGTCCTCGATTTCGGAAGAACGAGTTATCCTTTTACATCTAAGATCGTACCCTGAATTTCTTTCCACAAAGTTTGAGCTAAGATAAGTGGGCATTAGCCCATTTACACATTTATAAACCAGAACAAGCACATTCTGTAGACGTCTGATCTGTCCTCCATAATGACTCCCAGTTGTATGTTTGAAAAACGCGTCGTTTGGGGGTAGTTTTATGAGCTGCAGCGAGAAGAGCTCCACCGAGTAGAAGCATCATTTTGTTTGCTTTAAAAGTGACAAATTTCTAACAGCTCATGGTCTAGTTTTTCAAACGGATTTTTCACGACGTTCTATCCATTATGGCTGTCTCTGACATTTTCATTTCGTTAAATAGAGTTCTAAATGGTTACGTCAGAAGTATTTGTTGATTCAGTTACAATGAATAAGATGAAAAAGTTCCACTGGACGAGAATTTTCTCCTCCAGTTTGAAAGCTAGATACTAGCACTGTTATGCTCGAGTGACCCTACACAAATCTTTCAAGTCTTAGTTGGGTCAAACTTATGACCAAGATCAAATTTAGAAGGATTTGAATCGAGTGACCAGAGCATGGTATCTCAGAGGTAATTCTCCTAACATGCTGCCTCTCGGCAAAGAAACATTTCTGGTCTTGCTCTCGACAAATCCCAAAATTTAAAAACTTCAAAACATTCTCCTTAGAACTCCATTCCTCTTGTAACACTTAACAGTATGTCTGTATAGCACTGCGCATTATTTTATTTTATCTTGTAACTCGATCGTAACTTTTAACACCATATAGACCCTCCATTCGCCCCATCAACTGAGGAAATTCGGATTCCGGGAAAATTTTGCTAGTGGAATCCGGAATCCTGGGCTTAACAATTTGGAATACAGCTCAAGGAACCTGGAATCCTACAAACTAATGGAATTCAGAACTGTTTTGGATTCCCTTAAATAGGTCGACTCTTTATAGGCTAGATGTATTCGCTGCTGAGGTATTTCGTCAAATTTCTAGAGTAGTTACCATTAGCAGAAACCCATTCTGAACACTTCCCATAAGTCTATTTTTGTATAGCCCCGTAAAATTTACTTTATGACCGTATTTTTCTTTGTTATTCTTTAGGCTTTTGGCTTCATCTCTCTTATTTTTAACGTGGCGGTTGTAACACAGTTTTGTCTTCTGACGCTAGATTACTTCAGCGATAAATTGTCCACACAGTACCAAGTCCTGTTTATTATTGAATGCATTGCGGTATCCTGGTTCACATTGGATATTGCAATACGCTTTCTTTGCTGTCCAGATCGAGTCTGCTTCCTAAAAACTCTTCAAAACTGGGCTGACTTTATTGCCATAATACCCTTCTACTTGGTTATTTTGACACCCTATGACGAAGTCATCAGAAATTTCAGCATCTTATACGTCCTTCGCATGATCCGCACTTTTCGTCCGTTAAAATTCTCCTACGTTATGCAAGTATTCACTCAGACACTTCGAGCAAGTTCACGCGAGTTGTACTTTCTCATCTTTATTTTGGGTTTAGAGGTAGTAGTGTACGGCAGCCTCGCTTACTACTCGGAAAGAAACGTGCCCGAAACTAAATTCACAAACATTCCAATCTCGTTCTGGTGGGCACTGGTCACCATGACAACTGTGGGATATGGCGATATGTTTCCGACAACTCTTCCAGGCAAGTTGGTGGGATGCGTTTGCGCTATAAGTGGTGTCCTTATGATAGCATTGCCAGTATCTGTTGTGGCAAGTAACTTTTCACTCTATAATTCGTACGCAAAGGTTAAGCTTAAGCTGCCTTCCCGAGGAAAGAAAAACATGGTGGACAACGCCCTTAAAGCCCTACAACTGTCTACACCGCAAACAAGCGTTAGTGTTGCTTCGCCAGACGGCGTCAATGGCCGAAGCCGTTATTCGTCGCTCGTTTCAACAGGAATTGAAATGAATATAATAAATTGTAACAAGAAATGTCCTGGCGAGGAAAATGAACCACTCACCAATCACGAGCCAGACCAGAATCGAAGGTTCGCAAGACGCTCCGCGCATTTCTCGTTAAATTTGGTTCCTATACGAGCGCATCCGGAACTCCCTGAAGGAGATAGCGAACCGGAGGACATTGATAGGGCAAACAATGGATACAATTTGCAAGCTACCGATAACAACTTACCGAACATTTGATTCAGCTGAGAATGATTTGAATGAGATCAGCGTTCTACTAATCCTCCTCAAAACAGGCCTGGACAAGCGACTAATGGCAAATCATAGGCCGCAATTATACGGAGAGTAAAGGGTCACTTGCGCCTATCCGAACTATCCTGGGCGAGCCAACTTTTCCTTCATTTTTTTACAAAACTTGGCAAAACATTTACACGAGAAACAGGAAGTTGTCTCGGCTAGAAGGTAACCCACCTAGCCGAGTCAACTTTTCTCTATATAACATTTTAGCTCGCCTGCCTCGGTCATGGCGAGACAATAGGGACTTTAATATCCAACGACGCGGACGGCAACAAGAACGTCAAAAAACAATAGGTTCTATAAGCAAAACAATAACTTTGTGAGTGCATCACGCTTTTTTGTACATTTCTTTGCCCGTTTTTGCACGACTACGACGCGAAAATGCCTAATTTCGCGTTTTATGGAGGACATAAACAAGCAATGACGAAATTTTATTTCTCTTTTTGAACTTGGATATGGTCCCTAGAAATTCAATTCAATTCAATTCCAGGAGGGTTCGCCTACATTTGAGAAACTAAGTGGGTAGGAAAAACTGCGATAAATACTGAAAGAACGCAAATTCACTTTTTAAGCGAAGTTCTCGTTGCCGTCGCGACGTTGGATCTTAAAGTCCCTAATTAGAGGATGGGCGAACGCTGGTGGCTTTTGGGAAAAGGGACAACGTTTTTGTGATATCAACGCCCGCTGACTCGTTGACTCGGATGGGAGGGTGACCCTCTTACCCGGGACAACTTCTCTCCATATAAACGGGACCTAATTGTTACAACGACCAGAACAACTATTGGAATTCTCTGAGGTCTGCAATAGGCGAATAGCCACCGATAGGAAAAATACCTTAAGCTACTCAAATGATAAAAGCATGACGTCCAAATAAAGTTCCTGAAAAACCAGTAAAGTGGAAATAAATTGTTTCGCCTAACGCTTAGCAAGTGGGATACTCGAAAAGACCTTTCCTGATTGTAATAGAGTATGACGTCCATGATAGCAATCCGTCGCGATACCTGCATAAAAACACTTCAAAAGGGAAAAGACCATTGCGAGGCGCTCAATTTAATACTCCCTATTCATCGTCTGTAGTCGATCTATATCTTGCTGTAGAAAGTTACTCCAGGCAATGTCACAGTAATCAAATAATGGCTAGAACTAAAGCGTTGTGAACAAGTGTTGCTGCCTCTTTTGTGACGAAACTTCTAACACGGCCCAGGATACTAACTCTTGACGCCACCTTTTTACACACATAGTCCGCGTGAGCCTTCCAAGTCATAAAGTTGTCGAACGCCACGCCTAGGTATTTAAAAGAAGTTTCGCAAGATATGGACTTTCCGAGAAGATTAAGATTTAAAATGCAATCGCGCTCTTTATGCCTTTGAGATGTAAATAGTACACACTTAGTTTTTGAAACATTGAGAACAAGATTATTGTTTTCTAGCCATTCAGATAAACACTGAAGATCTTGGTTGATGGAAAAAATTAAATTGTGTACAGTTGGACCAGCAAGATATAAAACTGTGTCGTCAGCGTACATATTTACACAGCAGTGTTTGATACAACGTGGTAGGTCATTAATGTAGACAATAAATAACAGGGGTCCGAAAATGGACCCCTGCAGCACTCTAGAAGTTATGGCAAGCTCTTCAGATGACTGAGAATCAGTGTGCACGAACTGCTTTCTTCCCGTGAAGTAGTTCTTAAACTATGGAAGGCTTTCATCGCATACACCGTAATACTCTAATTTGCTAAGCAAAATGTCATGGTCAACTGTGTCGAAAGCCTTTGCCAGGTCAATAAACACAGAACCAGTGACTAAGCCCTTATCCATATTCATGAGAATCTCGTCGGCGAAATAGGTTACAGCCGTTTCAGTTGAGTGCATTCTTCTAAAACCAGATTGTGATTTACAGAGCAAGTTATGATGGTCAAAATAACTTGCAAGTTGCTTGTGGATTAAACGATCTAGGACTTTAGATACCACTGGTAATACGGATGTGGGGCGGTAATTTCTTGGATCATCTTTTGTACCTGATTTGTGCAGAGGGGTCACCTTCGCTTTTTTCCATTCCGCAGGGATAACGTTTTCTTGGATAGTTAAATTAAAAATGACGGACAATGGAGAAGCCAGGGCGTCTGATCCGTCTTTAAGTAGACGTGATGGAATACCAGCTGATGGCCACCCTCAGAGACCCCGGGGCAGTCAGTCGGATAGGGAGAAAAGGCAGGACGAAAGTTTTCAAGTACGGGCGAAAGAGCCACTGGGTACCGACTCTCACCGAACTATTTCCAAAAATTCAAGCAGATGCCGGCTCCTGATTGGGCACAAAAAATGCTTTGTATTATTGTGCCCAATCGGTGAACAGTTCCTCCTGAGTTCTTTTCGTGAGTTCGTACACGACAGCTATTGTCTCGATCACGGCTTGTCTGGCTCATGCACTAAAGAAATGCACGCAGTCAGAAAACTTTCAGTTTGATATAAAATCCCCATCTGATTTCAAAATATTGTTTGCCCGAAAAATAAAGACGCTTCTCCAAAAATACAAGCTTGAGCTTACAACAGGTATTCACGCTTGCATCGGTCACGCGTCTTGCGTAAATACTAGGGAGTTTTTAAAAGATACCACGACGGCTGACAGCCACGAAAACGACGCATGGAAAAGTGAATTCACATTTTTTCAGTCTCTATCGGGATTATTCCAACTCGCTTACTTTGTCAAATGCAAGCACTGACTCTGACTTCTTTATATCCAACTTCATGAAGAGAATGAATTTTGTCATTGCTTGTTTACGTCCTTCACAAAACGTGAAATTAGGCATTTTCACGGGTAGTCGTGCAGTTGATGGCAAAGAAATGTTAAAAAAAAGCGTGATGCACATGCCAAGTTGTTTTGCCTTGTGAAGCTATTGCTAATTTGACTTTCTCGTCGCCGCCGCATCTTGAAGTTCCTATCATTTACGATACATTGTGATCCGCCAAAAACAATATTCTCGGGGCAAATTGAATTGCTCCTGCTGATAGCATCCCAAACGTTCCTTTGTTTCTGGTTAGGAAAGCGGAAAATAAAAGTTTTCCCTGCACGCACAAGCTTGGTGAACGAACCGGGCAAGTGTGGCGAGACAATAGCCGTCGTGTACGAACTCACGAAAAGAACTCAGGAGAAACTGTTCGCCGATTGTACACCGTATTCACAAATGGCGGACACGCGGGAAAAAACTGGTGCCTAGTCATGAAAGCGAGGCGTTGGAGGGTAAACAAAAATTGCAAATGAAGACTTTCAGTGAACTTGCAAAGTGTTTAGCACGGATTCCACCTAAAATAACTTTGTACGGACTTCTTTTTAAATACAATGACGTGGGACGTCTTCTGCTTTTAATGTTTAGTATTGATTTGCTGTTTGCAATCAAAGGGGACGCGTATATCTTTAAGGAAACAGGATGATTTTGTAGGTTTCCGAAGCATCAGAAGCTCGACATGTGGGCGATGACTGGAGAAAAGCGGCAAACATGTTGGCCCAAACTTCACATTGAAACCGAGTTCGAAAGCCAGCTCACTGCAATTCGGTAAAACAGAAATATAAACAATGAAAATCTTGGTGGCAAGAAAAAAAGAAATAAGCGATGGATATATGGCCTACTTGTTAACGCAAGAGACGTGTGCTATTGAACAAAACAGTTCAAATCGAGATGGAAAAAAGGAAGACAGGAAAGAAGCGGTGACTGAGGTTTGGATGAAGTTATGTTTGGTGTTTATTTGCCAGGAGGTTATTCTCTGGTCTTTATCGATGAAGGACATCAATTAGAACTATATTTTTGGTATAAATGCAGGAGCGATCGAGTGGAGTACGCTCAAAATTTCAACTTGTTACTCGGCAGACTCGGTAAGCCGGCCACATTTCATTTCAGCGAGTAATTTTCCTATTTCTTATCTTTAGCTGTTAAGAGTTTTAACTTCATGTTCCATAATATTTTAAAAGTGAAGAATACATAAATAAATAAAATGATGGTCTTCTTAAACGGATCCAGACTCGCATTTAATTATTCGAAACAGAAGCTTGCCGTGTTCAGTCCTGATACAAACATTACCTTAAAAGTTTAACCTAGTAAAATGTGAGCTTTATACCACTTTTTTACCAAGAGCTCTCCGAGATAATGCCGTAAAGGAGACCAGGCAAATAGCAAGCCTTTAAGATTCACACACTAGAGCGTCTAGTTTTCATAAAATTATTTTATTTCGCAATGACAAAGAAATCAAAAGATTTTAAACTTGCACTGAATTTGCTAAACTCTGCCAACGTACCTCTCACAATTCACTCCAAAGCGACGGAATTATAATATCATCCAACGGAAGTTGTAAATACAGACATACATAGATATGTGTAAAATGACACTGACATGAATGAATGATTCTCGTGAATGAATCTTTCACCCGCTCTCGACTTGACCTGTTTTGAGTAATATGGCGGAGGTCTCCTCCTTTGAATGAAGTTTGGGCCAACATGTTTGCCGCTTTTCTCCAGCCTTCACCCACATGTCGAGCTTCTGAGGCTTCGGCAACCTACAAATCATCCTGTTTCCTTGAAGATATACGCGTCCCTTTTGATTGCAAACAGCAAATCAGTTCTAAACATTAAAAGCAGAAGACGTCCCACGTCATTGTATTTAAAAAGACGTCCATACAAAGTTATTTTAGGTGGAATCCGTGCTAAACACTCTGCAAGTTCACTGAAAGTCTTCATTTGCAATTTTTGTTTACCCTCCAACGCCTCGCTTTCATGACTAGGCACCAGTTTTTTTCCGCGTGTCCGCCATTTGTGAATACGGTGTATACAAAGCATTTTTTGTGCCCAATCAGGAGGCGGCATCCGGGCCTCTTTTGCCCGTACTTGAAAACTTTCGTCCCGCCTTTTCTCACGACCCGACTGACTGCTCCTAGGTCTCCAAGGATGGCTGATGGCGCCATTTAGGAATGTGAGTAATCGTTTTCGGTTTATGTTAGACTTGCCTACAAGTCGAGATCAAATTTTTTCACGAGCGCGAAGCGTGAGCGATAGATTTTTTTGTTTTCTGCGCCAAAAGCGAGCGAGAGAAAAAAGCTCGACTTTTTTACCTTGCAAAAAATCGCATCAAAAATTTTGTCTTGCGCGTGCTCAAAACAAAGCAAGTCGGTAATGTTTTTTCGCTCCGTGGCTGCCAGGAAAATCCGACCTTGGTAAAGTATCCAAATGGAGGAAGACAAAACGCCTGAATACAGGCGATAAAACGAAATCGAAATACAGCCCGCAAAAAATACACAGTTTGGATCAAAACAGATTAAGTCACGTTTCATGTGGCGTGATCGGGTTTGTTTGACGGCGCATCAGTAAAACTGTTCGTGATTGGATAAAACCTACAGGAGGAAAATTCCTCCTGCAAATTTAGCGCGCTGCAAGGGATAAAAGTCCGTCGCGCTGGCACCAACTACCGGAAGCGAGGGACTTTGAGGAAGTCTAAGTTTGCGTCTGCCCCAAGATTGATGGCACCCAGTATAATGAGCGCCTGTTTACATGTTGGTAGGAGACCCCAGGTAGCTAAGGTAACCCCTTTAGGTGAGTCTACATCAGGTTTACATGATGTACCCTGGGATGGCGGGGTTTCAAGATTGCATGTAAACGCGGGTTATTTTTTACACCACCTGAGTTGTCTACCTGACCTATCTAGGGCGCCACACCTCCAAGCACACAAGCCTGAAGACTCCCCTAACCCAATATTTTGCCCTACGTTAGAAATTCGTTTTAACGTCGGGTTAAGGGGATGAGGAGGGGGAGGGGGGCGGTCACCCGAAATCGTATACTGATCCCTTCTTCCTTCAGTTATTACAAGCACTTTGAGTGTTAGTAGAATCTTTTAATTATTCCTTTTGTTTTTCGCAACCACGCGTTATAATTAGCTGAAAAATCTTGTTCTATTATGACCTGTTTGGAGGCGTTATTTTAGGGTACCTAGGCGGAGTACCTTGAGTATCCGCGAGTTACATGTAATTACCGTTAATGTGTTCAGTGCCACCGCGAACGGTCAGAGAGATTCCTTTTCTTTCTTTATTTATTGTCGAGTATTGAGCAGACTAACCTCTGAGTTAAGAAATAGGGACCAATGAAAAGAATATTACTTCAAAACTGCCTTTTACCTTGATTTTTTTATTTGTCGCTGCCTAGCTTATTTTCTCTGAAATATACCGTCTATGACCCCTCCCCAGTCGTCTCTAATGATTTTTACATAGGGTTATCAGTTACAAGGGACCAGCACGGTAACTTAACCATGGAGACGAAACATCGCTCCGACTTCTGTCGCTAATATTCGAAAGTGTAGATGACTAACAGACAAATGAAAACGTTTCCTCACACTGAAGAAGGGCCATATACCAGAAACGTCTGTTTTTTTAACAAAAAACATTTGACACTTTTTTGATGTTTTGTGGAATATCACCTCATCAGCTATCCAAGTAGAAGTGTCACGCATCCCGGATGGTTTTTCCGTTCACCATTCAACACAGACTTATGCTAGTTTCTTATCATTTCCAGTTCCCCTCGATCCATCCAGGAGGAGAAGACTGGCGAGATATCAACTGCAATAGCCCAAGTTTGATATATTAAAGTTCTAACATGACTCTGAGGCTTCTGGTCATTTTTCTATATTTGGTTTTGTTTTCTTTGTGCTCAATTCTCTTCTGGGAATTGCGAGACAATGGAGTCGTGATAAATTTACAATTTTGACTCTAAAGCCTCGGAGTCATGTTAGAATTTTGATATATCGACCGTGGGCTAGTCAAACGAGAAATTTAACGTTTACCCCAGTAGAGAGTTTTGTTCTTCTCTTCCCATTTCCACTTCGCGTCTCTAAGCATGGTCACTCTCTTTAGAGCATCGTCGATAGAAACAAAATGGTCACATCTTGCATACGAACCCACGGTTATTACTTGGGCGTCGCCCAAAAAGAGTAATCGAGATCGGTTATTTTGAGTCAGAATTGCAATAGGCACGCAATACGTGCGAACGTAAACAAGCCAAGCGACGCGAATGTGCCACGCGAACGTCTCGTACAAGGTAAAAAGCATGCCGGAAAAAAAGCTCTGCAAGCAAAGTTCTAAATCCCACCTTTACGATCTCAAAAACCTTGCAACAAAGAACTTGGTACAATTCCCAACAATGCGGGGACGAAGGAATTAAAAGCGATGAACATGTTAACGCAACGCAGGGATAATTTTAAATTTGGAGGAAAATATGATCGTATTCAGAAGCTTACCGTATTTTTACCTCACCTAAAAGCCGGCCGGTTTTTTCGGAAATTTGGAAGTACTAAATCCACGGATTAAATCATCCAAAAATATTTGGAATTTAAAACGGGTTTGGATCACACTCAAGAGTTTGAGCAATTTTCAGGCTTACTGCGAAGTGTTTGCGTTCGTGAGGAATATTGTATTACAGGAAATGGCTCTGTTTTTTGACATGCGATAATTCGTTTAGCCAGATCAATTTTTTGCAATTTCTATCCATTAGTAATTGCTTTATGTTTTGTTTGAGTTTAAGAAGTAATGAAAATTTTATAATCGTTGGTCGTATTAAACACTGAAAATCACACTGTGGAATTGACGGATTGGGTTTGTAGTTTTAGTTTTGCCCTCAGTTATCGAGAGCCAAAAAAGATGTCCCGCAATGGCGCAAAATTTCGTGATCGTGCATGAGATAAATACGGGATTGTTTCAGTGAGGGAAATGACATGCGATGAGCGGCCACATATAAAGTATTACAGCAGTTTGAAAATTTTATTGGAGCTAATTGATGTTAGACTTTTACTTTTAACATTGAATGATGCATACCGTAAAATTCCGAAAATAAGCCCCGGGGCTTATATTTTTCAAAGGCCCTTTTTGAGGGGCTTATTTTTGGAGGGGCTTATATTCGGAGGGGCTTATCTACGGAGGGAAATTTGCGTTTCAAAATCGACTTGGCTAACCTCATAGTTGGAATGAAATTTATCGTTTTTTCTTTGTTTTGCTTTGTATTTGAGGGTAATTTCCAAGTACAAGCCCCCGGCGGGGCTTATATTCGGAGGGGCGATTTAACGGAGGGTTTTTTGCGTTACGAGTTTGGGGGGGCTTATATTTGGAGGGGCTTATACATGGAGGGGCTTATTTTCGGAATTTTACGGTAATTTCATTGCATATGTTCGAAAAGGAGGTGATTTCTTAAAATCTTATTGCGAAAAATGAACCCATAAACAAGTTGCATTCTTAAACGTTGGAACCGTAAAGGGGGCAAAGTCCAACATCTTCACGTACAAACTGCGTGCGTGACAGTTATTTTTAAAACCCTTGGGTTAATTAGATTAAGTCGATTTCCCTCATACACGAACCACAAAAGCGGCTAATTCCAAAGCTGCGTAACAAGACAACTCACAGTAGGGGCCTGAACATATTAGCCAAACATATTAGCCGGTCTGGCTAGCTCTGCCGAGACGACTTTTTTCCGGTTTTAGCCCGGAGCCGCCATTTTTATATAGAGATTGGGAGCAGTTTGCATGTTTCTCGCTTGGTTCATTCGCCGGGCTGCCCGGCAGGCGTGATTACTTGGAAAATTATTTGGAAAATTTTCCGGCATCACAATGCTGGGATACCAGCTACCGGGCTGGCTCGGTTGTCATGTAATCGCAAAGTTGATTTTCGTTGCGTTTAACGGTACCGAGATCTCTGCAAAGCGAGCCAGCCCGGCTAATGTAATCAGGCCCTACCTAACCGATTTTTTCAAAGCTTCCCGAACCCACACACCCAAAATTTTAACCGCCCCCCTCCCCCACCCCCAACAAGCAAAAAAGAACATCTTCATATCCCTTTTCTATATTAAATGAACTTTCCCTTATCCACGTTCTCTCCAAACAAGTATTATCAAACCGAAAGACAATCCTAAACAAAATACCTAACAACATTTAAAATAAGTACAAGTATGTTATGGTCAAGATTAGCCAAGCACAGACACCCGTGGGATCGATTCTCTGTCAAGAGTGAATACAAACCCTAATGATGATGATGATAATGTTAATGATGATGATGATGTCTTCGACTATTGGCTTTCACAACCACCACTTCATTTCAAAAGACTGTTACTACACTATCCCTTCACAACCAAATCAGCACTCCCACAACTACCTCACTACAACACCTTAAATCACTTTTACCTTCCAAAAAACATGTTTTTTGTTACTCAATATCAAATTCGAAACCAGTTTCACTGTTTAACAAACTACAGCCATTATCTTAGCAATCCACTCCAATATAACTCTACGCCTTCAGGCACTTCATACATCTCAACCAACCCCTAAATATATAACGCTACTTCACTACTGACACATCCCTAATATATTTAAAAACTTCACATGCGCGCAGTACAGCGACGCCCAAATATACCCTCACACAGCGTCTTTTTTGTAACTGGTATACATTCATGCTTTTTTAGAGAACAATTTCCACCAGAAATAACTTGGGAGGGGAAAATAACTGTTGACGTAAAAAAACGGCTTCATTCGCATCATCGACATCATTCTACTGAAAGCTCAAGTTGAATGTTTATGGCATAGTAGGAGTGGCAGAAACCTCATCATGGTCGTAGTCGTAGCAGTAGTGGTAGTGTGGGTGGTGGTGGTAGCGGTGGTGGCTGTTGTTTTAGGGGTGGTGTTGGTGGTAGTTGTGGTGTTGATGGTTTTAGTGGTGGTGGAAGTGGTAATGGTAGTGGTGGAGGTGGTGGTGACGTGAAAGTGGTGATGGTGGTGGTGGCTGTTCAGTTTAGTGGTGGTGGTGGTGGTAGTTGTGGTGTTGATGGTTGTAGTGGTGGTGGAGGTGGTAATGGTAGTGGTGGAGATGGTGGTGACGTGAAAGTGGTGGTGGTGGTAGCGGTGGTGGCTGTTGTTGTGGTGGTAGTGGTGTTGTTGGAATTGGTAATAATAGTGGCAGGGTTCGAGCTAGGTTAGGGTTAGATGGTAGATAGTAGTGGTAGTGGCGGTAGTAGTTGTGGTAGAAGTAGTAGGGCGGCGGTGATGGTGCTAATAGTATTAGTTATAGTGTCAGTTATAAGACATTGCCAAGCACTCACAAAATGACATTGTCTTCAGTGTGAATAAAGAACAAATAGAAAATGCCTAAAATTAGATATGAAAGAAATATTAAAAACTTTGCCGCAGGGAAAAATCAAAACAAAGGGTGTTTCCCTTCTTATATTTAGCTAAGGGATATTGCTAGACAAAGTGCTAGATCCTGTTTATGAACGGTTAATTAATCATTCTAACAGTCTACTATATGTTTGTTGGTTGGTTCGGCAGGATGTCTGATTAGGGAACTGAGAAACATAGCAGGTTATTAAACCCATGAGACAGAAAAACTGATGTCTCCATGGTCTATTGGTCATTTAAAACGTAAAACAAAAGTTGTTTACACTAGGGCAATAGACACTTCTTTTCGAGTGACTGAAGGTTAATGATCCTATTTTTAAACATGGTTGTCTTACTCAAACGTTATTAAAGAAAATATCGCAATTTCTTAGAGACATTGCATTTAAAACATTAACCAGTCTACCTTAAAATTTTAATGAGGAAATTGTTTCCTCCTCGAAAGTGTTCCAGGTAGCCAGGAAAAGCTTTTCAATGAGAAGGATTACAGGGTGCAATTAAATAGCAGACATTTCAAAGAGAACAAGTGCATTTACTTCTAGATTATTCTTTTTGCTTAAGGATTTTTTTTCATAGGAAAGAAAAACTTCCTTTTCTTACCTAAAACAAACTTTGAACTTACAGGGCGTTTGGAGTTATTGCCACGCTCCCTTTGTCAACCTGGACTGAACGGTAAAAACGTATTTGAGATTATCTGAATATAGCAACTTGTCTGTTAGTGCCGGGGATGCTCTATGACGGATAATTTTCCAACTGCTTTATGAATTCCTTTTCTATTGTAGCATGAGCCCCGACAAAAGGCCTCTAGTGTAATTTGTTATCGTAAGCAAACTAAGCAGTTAGGGGGTATGCAAAGCAGCAAAAACACTAATGAGATATGACTGTAGTAAATCCGGCAGGCTTATGGAGATTTTCAGACCAATTGAACTTGACAATAATGAAAAGCAGCAGCTGTTTGAAGCCTCGGAGGCAGAAACTAAAATGAAAAATGATCAGTTAGTTTATACTTTAATCTGCCTACCTTTGCCGCATTCACCAAGAAATTGCGGATTACATGAACCTCCGCAAAGACAGTTTTATTCAGCAGAAAAAACTGTTAACGAGAAACAACAGACTGAATCAAACCAAAGCTCAACTCGCTTTAAAGTTATTGGCTGCTCAACCAAGTATAACGGAAGACATTAGAAATCAGAATTCTGTGTTCTCATCTTATAAGGTAAGTTCATTTGCGAGATAAGTGATAACGTTTGTTTCTTATACGACATTGACTTTTCAGTGAAGAGTAAATAGAACATTGATTTCAAAAAAAGGAGAAGATTAATACAAAAAGTTGTCTGACGCATCCGGACTGACAGTTCAGCTGTGGATGAGTCTAATGCACTCTCGACTAAACGCTCCGACAAAAAATGCGCCAAAGATACAAGGCGTCTCCGCACAGAGAAATATTAAAATATAGAAATCTATTTTAATAGCTGCGCTTTTTACGTGTTATAATGTTCACTGCTTATATTTTTTACGGTATAACAGCTTGAATGCGTGCGAAAACTTCCTATCTTGTTTGTTGAATACATTTAAAGCACAAAATTATATTATTAACATTTTATCGAGAGTTCCGTTGAGTTCATTTCAGTTTTATTTACTTTTCTTCACTTGATCAGCATACAGATAACAAATGCTAACCCGGGAGAAATTACAGGAAAAAGTAGTCAGCATTAGTAGGGGAGGCCGTGAGAAGTTATTTTGGTCTGTATAATAAGCTTAAGTAGACTAGGTTATTTCCTTGATAATGGTTGCGTTCGCGAGAAATCAAGTCAAATCAATCCCACGAACACTATATTATGCCACGGAAATTTTCTTTGCCCTTATCACAGAAAAATATATTTATCTCAGAATATGTACACTAGCCCCATTGACAGTGTCATAATTTATTAGTTGTTCTTAATCCAAACAGTCGGCTGGAAATAATTTAATAGCATCGCGTAGGAGTGGTCAACAAAAATCACTACAACATTATCAGGGTAATAGTCTGTATAAGTTGTTCTTTTTCCGCAGATTTCCCAACTAAAATCTAACTAAATGTTCTAACTAAATCTCTTCTGCATTGCGGTTACGAACGTGTTCTTTTCATTTAATCACATGGCAAAAAAATTTTAACCATTCAATCTCTTTACACGACTTGAAAAATCGTGAAGGAAAAATGAATTGTTATGACTTGATACGGAGACTGTGTGGAAGATAGTTAGATCATTGAGAGACCAACGAACCTCTTTTCCTTACAAGTTAGAAAGCTTTTTCAGAGCGTGGTTTAAGTGTTTTCTGTCATCCTGCTTCCTCAGTTAAGCTGCTCCCGCCGCATAACTACGCAGTTGTCCATAAGTAAATTACGTAACAACTTTTCAGCGCGTGCGTTAACTGCGCTACCTATTTTACTATCACTTATCATTTCGACTGAAGAAGGCTTATAGCAGTAACCGAAACTTTTTGAGCCTACAAAGATAGTCAGCTTCTAAACTCTCACAAAACTACAAAGTATAATCTTGAGTGTGACGGCAAGAAATGGGTGGAAATTACTGTCAGATAAACTCAGAGTTAAAATGCTGAAAACGGACAACACGCCGCCCCAACCTCCGAAGCGCCTTCAAAAAATTCCTTCCCTTATCAGAGTGCCTTCTTTAGTTCCCAGTGTTTCTCTCCTCCGCCTCGACCACAAGGACAAGCGAGACCCTGGGAATGAGACTAAAGCGTGCTAACAAACACAAATTAAGTCAAGCGAAGGATATTCACGGTATAGCGAGATAAAGCACTGCATTACTTATTCATTCTAACTTTTGTTCCATTTTATACACTGCAAATAGATGATTATCTTCACGAAATGTTCACTATTCTAGTGGAGCCCACCTTGCAATTCAATTGACGACTTTGAAAACTACTGTTGAGTAAAACCGGTAGGAAGCCGCCGAATAAGCAACGACTTTCTAGACCGCTGTTTGAATAGTTTGAATAGTTATCTTCAGAATAAAACCGAAGCAGTTCTTAGAAAGAACATTTAGTTAGGTTAAGGTAGCTGGTAGTTATCGTGAAGAAAAAGAGAAATCAATACGAGTAAATAATAATTTGGAGGAATGAAGCAGCAGCCTCATGCGTCGTGCTGTGTTACATGAAGTTGATTAACATGACAAACACACCGATAAGCTATTTATCGCCACCCAAACCATAAATATTTATCCCACAGGGAAAGCTGCATCAACATTAGCGGTTAATAGGAAGCTATAGGAGAACACATGGTAAGCCGTGTTTATGTTGCCTCTATCATTAATAACCTGTCAGTTCAGCTAAAATGACACATAAACGAATGTCACTCGAAAATGCTGCAGTCAGTCCTCTTTGCAGTTCTGCCATACACAGAAAACAATTGAAACTAATATTCATCCTAAAATTCGGTTTAAACTACAGACTTACTCACGCGTCAGTGATATGTTTACCTCCGGCAAGTTTTGATGTGCTTAAGGTCATGACAAATTGTCAAAGGCAACGCTACTTATTTATTAAACATAATGAACAATTTTCTTTTTGCTGCATTAAAGCTAAGCGAAATGAAGAAGTCTCGGAGTCTTAGCGCTGTTAGCGAACAATATCAGTATATATACATAACTATCAATCTTACAGTATATGAATAGGAAATCTTTGGAAAATCGTCTACTTAATTCAAAATAGTGCTCGCGAGTACTCTTTAAACAATTTTAAGCGATCTAAGAGGACTTCAGGGGCATATGAAATTATATATGCAAGTGATACGGGCAGTATTAGAAACGGGAAAAAACAGATGAAAATACTAATTAAGTAGCGATCTTGGCAAACTCGCTACAGGAAATTTTTGCTGATAAGACAGATTCACAGTTCCATACTTAACTAAACAAAACCATTTGTCCACAATAGCTACTTTTCTGATTCTTAAAATTTTAGAAGAGACGTTGCACATGAAGTGCGCATCTAGTTTTCTTTCTCCGGTCATATATTTTACACTCAAGGCGTTCTTAATATTGATGTCAGTAAACAATTCTCTGAAAGCTGGGCAGTATTTAATTTAACGGTGATCGGTGTCAAGACAATTACTGAGGAACTTTCAAGCAGGCTCCGCCCAGTGATTGACGTAAGGAGACAGATGTAAAGGAAATATTTGTTGCTTCGTAAGACAAATTTGAAATATCACTGTCACCTGAGCTCGTCATAAAGATACGATTTGATTGGTCACCTGTACAAGCGTACCCTTGAGCATTTAATTTCGATAAAAACAGCTTGAGAAAAAGGAATAATTTAGACTTTATAAAAGAAAGCTCAAACTCTTTACGTACAGAAACACACGGTATAAACAATTCAGCTATAAATGACGTTCTTCTCCAGTTTGTTTCTACTCAACGCACAGCCTCATATAAGACGAATTGTTAAGGAACATTGCACATGCATAAAGTGAGTAAAAAACTTTTATCCACGGGGAAATAGCGTCAGTCAGAGACGCGATAGCAATTTTTTTATATTATCTACTGAACTGTCTGGGGCTTCAATAACTAGTCATCTGGCTTATCTTGTTTCGCAGGTTTGGAAGCTTCTCTAAAGCATGCCTTCTGGTAAAGAAAAGAAGCGCTCAAACCGCATTGTGCTGAATGTCGGAGGTGTGCGGCATGAAACCTTCTTAAGCACACTGAAAACAATCCCAGATACACGTCTTTCTTATCTTGGGGAGCATCACACGACAGTGGCGAGATCCCCTGAGTATGACGCATCGAAAGGAGAGTATTTCTTCGATAGGCATCCTGGAGTATTCGCGCAGATATTGAATTTTTATCGCACGGGAAGGCTGCATTGTCCTTCAGATGTCTGCGGGCCACTATTTGAAGAAGAGTTAGGATTTTGGGGAATTGATGAACAACAGGTAACGCTACTAGTAACAGTTACACTCCTCTCTTTGGTGAGATGCAAGCACATGCACTGGTACAAAGCTAAGGACGAAACTTAACACAGTTTATGCTAGAACCCATGTTTGTGTTGTATTAAAGTCCCGAGCAGATCAAATTTTCGTTCCACAACAGAGGTGCTGAATAATAATAAACCTAAAAACGAAGGTTTCAGAAACTACTTGCATCTGTTAGAATGTAACCGTATAAAGTTAAAATTAAGAAAAGAAAAAAACTTCATCGAGGTCACATAAGGTATAAAAACAAACACGAGAGATCTGATAAATATTTTAATAAATGTGCTCTACCCGTGAAATGAAAATATGACTGACTCATGCGCGCGCCAATGATTTCTGTCCGGGTTGAATTATTTTATATTCATCGAACTTATATTTTTTGGCCCGAGCGTCTGTTCCTTCCCGTCGCGTTTCCACAATATAGCTCTTAAAATGGTTTTGCTAACATGTTTACATTCATTTCAAAGGTTGATAAATAGATCTGCTTAAAAATGAAATGAGGTAAAGCGATAGACAAACATGAAATGTTATTTGCAGAGAAGTGAATAAAAATTTCACTAGAATAGCAAAAGAATTAAGTCTCCACAACGGAACGTTTTGAAATCAGTGCCTGGATATAATAGGAAAAGATCGTCGTTTTTGCGTGTCTTTGCGGTTGGTAACAATTGAAAAAACTTCAATCAAAGGACAAATACATATTAAGCTGATACCGAATAAACGTTAAGGCTCGAGAAACAAAATCTGTTCAGAAGTCATTAAGCGGTTGCGAGTTTCTACATTGTCTTCTACAAGTAAATAGACACAGAAAAAAGCATTTTAATTTGCTTTGACAATAGCGGCTCACACGGCTGCAAATCGACAATTCGTCGCTTAGTGTCAGCGCGGTAATGATAGCTGTACACTTCGTCTTATAACGTGGGCAAACCAAACTTGACCTAATAAAACTTGCATCTCTTTCATCGTATTTTTCATTATGATTGTTATTCTTACAGAATTTTAACAAAGATCCTTAAGGAGCTGCATAAAAAATAGTAATACAATTGAAAAACGCTTTTTAAAAAATATTCGCTTTCGGCGGCGAACAATCTCTTTCTTGAAACAATCAACGAATAAAAACTCCAACTTCGCCGGTTAGAAAACCATGCGAGCTGACTATTGTCTCAAACCAAAAATATACTCATTTTGGCTGAACATTAATTTTGTGTTTTTTATTCACAGAGCCATTAATGAAAATGTTGTAAAAATACAATCTAGGGATGTAATCTGGTTATGCTGTAATCCTCTTTGATCTTTTTCGCCTTAAAGCTCGAACAACTACAGTAGCAGTCAAGAGTAAGGTAGTCAAGGCATGGATCAGAATATCTACCGTTTCGTTTTCTTTCTTCAAACCCTTTTTTAACACAGGAATCGATATTTGAATGTGCAGATATTAAATGTACGTATTTTACAGACGATCGATATTCATAACCAACTTTAATTTCCAAGCAAGATATGCTAACATATAAACAGGTGCTATATAAGAAAGCCATTATCTTCCTACGTTTCCGAGTGTTCACAGGTAAAAGCTTAAAACTTCAGTTATATTTGCTAACCTCGAAAGAAAATCATGTTTCAGCACAAGGCTTACAGGCTAAGACCTGATCTCGATTCTGATAAGGAATTTGCCCTAAACTGCTTGCCATAATATTTATTATTTTGAATTAATCTGTTGTTTTGCATGCAAATCAGACTGAAGCCTAAGCATGGCGTTAATTTATGATAGGAATTATTGACAAGCAGTGAGATATAGTAAGATAGTCAATTTTATCACTAAAAATAGGTGAAAATTTGTTTAATTCTTCCTTGAATAAGCACCACAGAGAAGGAAAGAATTGCTCATGTGTTGTAAATACTTGCACAAAATCCACCTTTTTCTTTATTTGAACCAGAATAAGAGCACGAAATCGCAAGAAAGGAACGTTGCACTCTACATGCGAAAGTGTTTCATAAACACGCGCAGACACACACAAAATATCTATGGTGCATGCCCTATGACATAAATATTTCAACGCAAAACGTTCACCTGGACAATAATAAAGCATGAAAACATAAGGACAACAAACAACCTCTATCATTAGGGCAAATAATGTGGTTTTCTAAAGGAAAAGTGTAAACATAAGGATTTTCAATTATCTGTGCGAAAAAAAAAACCTTGTCCATCGATCGATATCTAATATGATAAGATGTCGCTCAATTTTATGATAGAAATTTGATGCTTAAATGATCACGTATTGAGCAAGTAAACGTTCATAAAAACATTAGTCTCACTTACACACCTTGCTGTTCGGTCGTTTCGTTCTTCTTTCGTTTTTTCCTACTTTCATTTATATTCGTATGGGCCCTTAACACTTAAAAACTTATATATCCATTTTTGAAAGCTTTATGAAAAAGTAAAACTACTACAGGGAATTGAATCCTTCTCATTATATATTAATGGCGTATTTTGCACACAGCAGTCAAGCACTTAGAGCTGCAAATTTAAGTAAAATTACGCATTATCACAAGCGAGCGTAAAACGCGCCGGTTCATTATAAAGCCTGAACGTTCGCATTACAATAAAGAGGACATCGTAAAAATGTTATCTATTGACAAATATGAGGCATGGTTAACTTAAAATCCCAATTCGTAGAAACACAATTTTAATTTTAAAAAATAACATATTTCGCTTTACAGGTGATTGTTTGTATTTTCACCGCCTATTTCATTGTGAGTTTCGTCTGTTATTTTGCTGCTCACGAGAAACTTAATCACTGGGGCTTAGCCGCGTGTAATGAGAGCCCCCATCATGGCTTATTTTTTCTGTTCACAGCAGTTGAGTCACTAAAACTACAACTCCAAATGAGACGTAATAACATAACCAAGGAGGGTGGTTATATATTTTAAAAAGCTTGGCGTTTTTAAAGCTATACGGGGAAACGGGCAGCAAAAATCGTGCAACTTGTTTTGCAAGATTGCTGCAAAGGGAGTCGAAAATTTTGCCACCCAAAATGACTTGATTTGGTGCAACACAAGTAGTAAAACGTGCAACTTCGCTATTCAACTCGTTTTGCAGAGATGTTGCATAACAAGTGGCACGTTTTTGTCTTCTGTTTTAATCTGCTGTAAATCAGCTTCATTACCCACTAGCGGAAATGATATCAAAGCATGATTTCTAAAAGCTTCCAAATTTATCAGGGGCACCCAACGACAGTTTCCTGAAAAATAACTGTTCGAAGAAGCGAATATTGCCTAGAATTTTCTATACCTTGAAGAACAAGGCCCCGGTTCACACTTAGGGGCTAGATCGATCTCAGATCGATCTGGCCTTTATACGAGCTGAATGTAAACGTTCGCACTTTCTTGAGATCGATCTGGGATCGATCCAACCTGGATCGCTTCAGGAGGTGGTCTGAGATCGGTCCAAGATCGATCTACATTGTTCCGGGCTGAGTGAGAACGCAAACACGGCCCTGAAAGCGATCCAGCTTAGTAGCCTTCCCTCATTGAGAGTCCCGCCAGCCAATCACACGTAAGGAGTATTGGTTTTGCAAGTTTCAAAAAAAAAGTCTGCAAAAAAGGAGAACGGTGGAGACAAGAGCTCTTATCGCTGCTTGGGATAACCATCGGATTCACGATAAAATAGACAAAAGTCACCGAAACGGAGACGTTTATGCGGACATTGCAAAAGCTGTAAAGAAACAGGGGCTTTCCTGAACGTGACTGGAAGCAGTGCTGAAAAAAGTCCGCGAAACATCTAAAAGCTTTAACTATCAAACTCGGATTTTCGTCTCTTTTTCTCAACTAAGTGGCCACAAATCGACGGCAATGATGAAGAACTTTCTCGAATTTTTGGAATTGAGCTTCTAGCCACTAAAAACCAACGGCAAAAGCTAGAAGACGCTTCGCAAATAATAGAGCCTGAGTCTTTGAAAAGACTTCTGACATTCAGCTGGAAAAAGACCACAAATTGGTCTGTGTTGCCGAGGAAAAATCCAATTTGTATAGAGCGTCCTCCGTTTTTAACGTTTGTTTATCCTTTTGAAAACAAGTTAATTATAAAGTAGTAGCAAAAAATCATGCACTTTTTTTATAACCGAACAATCCGGCTGAGGCAGGAAACGTTTTCTTGCAATAACGTGCAAGAAGACATAAATTTATAAGTCACAAAAACAACTGCTGCCAGGTCCCCTCAAGAAGCCTTAATGACCTGGCAGTACATCTAAGACTGCTTGTTCGTAAATGAATATAACGAAGGATGACAGTTGTCTTCGCTAAAAAAAAAACAAGTTTTCTGGATTTCGCCTGCCGGGACTAAACATAAACATCTTTTCAACGAATCCAAACCATGTTCCCGTCCATGCCTTTACGAACCTTTGAGTATTTAAGATTCTTTTATCTTTTTTCTGCTTAGCTAACAATGCCTTGTTCGTTAACGAATAAATAAGAAAATTTTCACTGTCAGTTTTAGAAAAAAAATTTCTTTCAAACCAGACTATTGTGGCGTGTTTGTAACCAGCGAACAGAAGCATTTGTTTTTCTGTGCCGCGCGTTCCGAGAATTAAATTAACGATCAACAAGCACTGAAGTGTTTTTCTTGGCTATGTGGTACACTTGGGAAACTCGGAGCGCACTCAAGAAGCTAGAGCCGCTCAAGGCGTAACTCTTACGCTTCTTTCGTGCTCTCTAAACTTCCTGCAAGCATCCATTACTCGATATACGCTCGCTAAGCATGAACCGATTCTTATTAAAAAAAATTATTCTGTCACACAACCCATCTCACCCGAAGCCAGAGGGTAAACAAACTGCTTAATCCTCCCTAGTTAGGAATAATTTGTCTTATTAAAAAGGCGTCAGTGTGAACAGGTCCTCATGCGATCTCAGAACCTATCTGAGATCGATCTCGTTTTTAAGCGATCTCAGTATGAACGGGGCTAAGAGTTTCTAGATGACCGTTCCATTCATGTACAATTTTCGATGCGTATCTAATAAATTCCCTACGATTTTCTGAAGTCTAATTTTTTGCTTGTCACTTCACTGATTAAGCTATTTTTCGCAGAACAAGGAAACTTAAAAATTTTCGGATTCGAAAATGCGATGGAAAGAGGAATCAGAAAAAATTATCTCTTTCGTAAAACTTTAAATTGCATCTAAAATTTTCGGGGAAATAATACTGAAGCCCGAATGAAGCCTGATGACCGAACGCGCCGATTAGAATGTATTTCTAAAGATCTAAAAGTACTCTGGACAGACTGAAAAGTGTTTTCAATGTATATAGGAGGAACAGGGGCGGATCCAGGATTTTTCTTAGGAGGCGGTGCACCACTAACTGACTGATGACGTAAAAAATTTTAAAAGCGAATACGAAGAAGAGGGCTTTTGACTAGGAAATAACATAATGTGAACTGCTGAGAATACATATCAAACGATAGAGCAGATTTTGTATGTCTGTCAAGCGACTGCACAGTGTTAATTAGAAAGCGGCCGCAGGTCATCCCGGGGGGGGGGGTGCGCACCCCCTGCACCCTCCCCCTGGATCCGCCCCTGAGGAAACCGTGGTTGGGTGCCCCTGATTTATACCGTCAACTCAACCGGTGATTGTTGAAAAGGAAATCAAGTGCCATCATTCATTCTCAAGGGATATTCGTGTTCTTTCAATAGGTAGAAACCTGCTGTTGGGAAAATTACAAGCAACACAAAGAAAAGCAGGAGAAACTGAAATATTTCAAACTTCCTGGTTACGAAGAGGACTCAGACGACGACTTCCAGTCCAGGGATTCAGGGCTTTTTGAGGACGTAGACGAGGGATCATCTTGGTGGTCTCGGTATCAACCCAGAGTTTGGAAGAGCCTTGAGGAGCCTTACACATCTTTCTGGGCAAAGGTAAGATTGAAAATTCAACAGTCTGATCACTCACTTGGTGTGTGTTAGCCCTGCAAGCTGATTGTATTATTTCAATAAGTCGATACAATCCGGCTTCAAGTATGATAATTGAAACTGAGGCTACTGAGTCTGCGGATAAAACATAATATAAATCGTCTTTTCAAAAAGCAGTAGAAGCCAATTTCTTATGATTCTAGCTACTCTTTTTACCATTTTACAGAATTTAAATGGGCATGTTACACCATGAATTTTGATATGGAGGGTTATGGTACTGAAAAGCTAAAAAAATGAATTGTATAACGGCACATATAAGCCAAATGCCTTAAATTTTCTTCTTTTTTTTCTTTTCAGTTGGTGGGAATCATTTCACTCGTCGTCTTCACTGCTTATATAATCAAATTCGCTTTATCAACATTGGACCATTTTAGTGACAAAACTGCGCCTAGATACATCGCCCTATTAGTTATTCATCTCATCTGTGTATCATGGTTCACTATGGACTTTGCTCTCAGGCTCCTATTCTCGCCCGAGAAAAAAGCTTTCTTCAAGAATCCCTACACTTGGACCGACCTCGTACCGTTAGTTTTATTATACGTGCTATTTTTCTACCCGTCCCTAGAGAAAGTCCGTTTTTTGGAGATGCTGGTCATGCTCAAAGCAGCACGAATTTTTCAGATCTTCAAACTGTCGTATGTTCTCCAAGTTCTTGTGAACACACTAAAAGCAAGCTCCAGCGAGCTTTGCCTGTTGTTAATAATCATGGCCTTTGTTATGGTAGTATTTGCCTCGTTTGTATATTTTTTGGAAAAAGATGAGTTTGCAAGTGACTTCAAAAGCGTTCCCGAGAGCATGTGGTGGGCAGTCATCACAATGACAACGGTAAGCATTAAAAATATTCCTTCATATAATCGAATATGTCACAACTTCCTGAGAGTTTTTCGTTGGCTCTTTGGAATTCTAAAAGAAATATCATCAAAACCATAAACCGCCACGCCTTTGAGACATTCCACGCGGGTCCCAACTGGGACACTCTTCATTATAGCGTACGAGGATACACAATGACCTTCGTTATCACCAGGCAATTTACCTGGTGGTCCTAACTGAACGTTTTTTCTGTTTTATTGTTAGTTTACGGACGTGTGGGAACTAGGCCCTAAGTTAGTCTTCACAGACTCGGACCCCCCTTTTGGTTTTATTTACAAGTGCTTTTGCCCTTGCGTTGTGAATTCTTGTAGTTTGTTTATCATGTTTATATTTCGCAAATAGAGCCTAATTATGCAATAAATCGTTTGAAACATGGTCCTTTAGTAGCCAGATATACGGTGTCGGTGAGTATTTCAAGATACCAGCGGAGAATTGAGAATTGGACCCCCGTTTGTGGTGAAGAATTTGGACAAGTTGATCTTGGAAGTGCGGCGATTGGCGCCATCATCTCTTGTGAACTTTGCAGAAATTTTGGAGTGTTGTAAGGAACGAAACTGTCATTCAAGGTTAGTGGAGATTGTGTATCAAAATGGTGAATGACCTAGAGGTTATTAAGAAGAACAAACGTTTTCTTAGAAAGTCTGTGACGGAAACCTTGAAGTCTATCGACGAAACTCGGTCAATCCCCGATAACCATGCTAGAATTCAGGTTTTAAAAGACAACATTGCAAATAAATGGAACGATCTTCAAGAAGTAGAGGCGTCAGTGTGTACTCTATTAGAAGAGAAATGGATTGATGAAGAATGTGAGAGTCCTAACGAGTACGAATTGCATGCCATTGAATACATGTCGAAAATGATGCATTACTTACAAAGTAAACATGTCGGTAAGGAAAACGCGGGAAGTAATTTAACTGCAGCCCAGGCGCCTTTATCGTTATGCCCCAAGGTACCAGTGAAACTTCCAAAGATTGATCTGCCAACCTTTGATGGGGATGTTTTATGCTGGTAGTCTTATTATCAGTCAATTAAACTCTCAGTGGTGGATAATCCATCTTAAGCTGATGTTCAGAAATTAGAATACCTAATGAGATCATTGAAAAGTTCGGCCGCCAAAGCGGTTAAAGGGTTTGCAGTCATACAAGAGAATTATCAGCCAGTATTGGACTCTCTGAAGGAACGATTTGGCCATCCGCGGTTGATTCCTGTTTCACATATGATGTCCCTAATTCATTTGTCACATTTGAATTATGAAGATGCATTGTCCATGCGTAAATTTTATGATCAAGTAGTTGCGTATGTTTGTTCTGCTGAATCAATGGGCGAGAAGTTCAGTTCCGAGACTTTAGCGCCTGTTCTTGTGCCTTTCATTGTTGACAAGTCACCGAAAGGGGTTGTGGAGAAGTGGGAATTAGAAATTGGTGACCATAAAGAGGACTATGTGAAAGTAAAAACATTGCTTACCTTCTTAGAAGAGTCAATAAGAGCTAAGGAGTCTTCCCAGCCTCCCTGTCCTGAATCAAAGTCCCCTGCACAGGAAAACAGTTGGCCATTCTAGGTCTAACCCTTCACGAAGGTACTCTACCTCTGCCTTGTGGGCGACGACTTGAGGGCGTGAGTGCATTGTTTTTGGTAAAACCACTGGGTGTGGTCGTGCGTCAGTTTCCTGTCATTGCCAGTCAAAGAAAGATTTAGAAAAGTTGTATCCAAAGGCCTGTGTTTTCAGTGCCTTGAAACTGGTCACAGAGCTGACGTTTGTCAAAACCCGCTCTGTAAATCTGGCCGTGGTAAACATCACAGTCTCCTGCACTTGGAACCAGTCAATTCTCAGCCAGAAGAAGCCGGGTCAAAATCCTCTAAATCAAGATCCTCATCTGCAGCTCCTCCCTCTTTGTCTTCCATAGTAGCAACTTCCATTGCGGTCAACTCACGTGGGAAGGTGATCCTGCATACTGTTCCTCCTGTTTTTGTGGATCCAATGGTTGCAAAAAAGTTGTCAAATGTTTCTTTGATCCCGGTTCCCAAACGTCCTTTGTGTAACCGAGTGTGGTTGAAGACCTTGGCCTTAATGGGAAGACTGGGGGAATCGCAGTGTCAGGTTTTGGAAGAATATCTGCTAAGGACACTTTGCGAAAGAGAATTTCCTTTACGCTAGCACCGGTCGGCAAACCTGGAAAGCCTCAAGGTGTTGAAGCACTAACTGCTCCAGTTATATGGATTGCTTGGATTTCTATTATTCCTTGCATCAAGAGATGTTGTGAGAGGTGGTCTAATGAACCAGTTGCACTTCGTACATCCTTAGGATGGGTCTCCTGTGGACCAACGGTTGGTCATGATTGCACTGTGTCTATGAGTGTTCAACTTTGTGCTGATCAACAACTGGATGATACACTTCAGAAGCCACTTGTGGAACTTGGAGTTCATTGGTATTACACCTGTTGAAAAGTCAGTCTTAAGGAAGTTTAAAGAGACATTAGCATACAAGAATGGTCGGTATGAAGTCTCGTTGCCATGGAAAGATGAGCAAGTTGTACTGAAAGATAATTACAAGCAAGCAAGGAGTAGGATGTATTAACCTGGAGTAGAATCTGCTCAAAGATCCATCCAAAGCCAAGTCCTACCAAAAGGCTATTAATTAAGTATGTGGAGTACCGAGGTAGCAGAAGAAGTACCCTATGAGCAACTTGCACCAGCAGATGGGCGTCCGGTGTTTTACCTTCCATCAGAGAAGATAAGGAGACAACTAAATCAAGGGTTGTATTTGATGCATCTGCGAGAGATTTCAATTGTCTCTAAACAGCTGCTCAGAAGCGGGCCCTGAATTACACCCAGATTTGGTCGGAATTCTTCTGCGCTTCAGAAAAAATCAGGTGGGGGTAATGGGTGATATTCAAAAGATGTTGTTGAAGATTAGCTTGAAAGAAGAAGATGGGGAACACATCGTTACCTGTGGAGAGATTTGGACCCCGACGCCACACCTAAGATTTATCGAATGACAAGAGTTACGTTTGGAGTTATTTCTAGTCCATTCCTTGCCATCTGCGCTACACAGGAGCATGCAAGGAGATGTAAAGAAACATTCCCTGAAGCATCAGATGAAATCCTGAGGAACACTTATGTTGACGACTTTGCCTCAGAGAGAGAGATACTGTACGTGAAGCCGTGAGATTACAGCGAAGTTCAAAACAGCCTAGGGAACAAGCAGCTTTCAATTTGACAAAATGGTCCAGTAATTCGCCTGAGGTTATGCAAGCCATTCCAGAGAAAGATGGAGTGTCAGATAGTTTGATCAGATTGGAGAGTGACCTACCGGGAATGCATCCATTTACGAAAGCTTTGGGTCTAAAGTGGAATACGAGAACAGACAGCCTTGTCTTTATGATTGAATTGGACTCTCTGAAATTGAAATCAGAGACATTGTAATCTAGAGAGAACTAGCTTCTTTTGCAGCGAAGATCTTCGATCCAATTGGTCTCATCTCGCGTTTTACAGTAAGGTCAAAACTTTTGCTTCAGAGCGCTGTCGACCCAGGGTGTTGGTTGGGATGATGAGTTACCTGAAGAACCCCCTAGGAAGTGGGTTCAGTGGGTTCAAGAGCTTTCAGAGCTTGAACGGCTTCACATTCCAAGAAGTTACATTGATTGGCCTTTAAGCCAGCTTGCAAAGGTGGAGTTACACGCATTTGGTGATGCATCAGAAGTTGCGTATGCCACCGCCATCTATATTAGAATTGTTCCTAAAGAAGGGAAGGCGTCTACGAGTGTTGTGATGTCTAACATAAGAGTTTCCCTTCTTCGAACGATTACTCTCCCTCGCTGAGAGCTAATGGCTGCAGTGATTACTGGTCGACTGTGAATCTATGATAAAGATGCAATCGACTGTCCTATTAGCCGCATTGTCTATTGGACAGACAATTCTTCCACCTTGCACTGGATCAGAGGATCAGCCTCACAGTGGAAACCATTTGTTGCTAACCGTGTCATTGAGATTCAGTCACTGATGGATCATAGTGTTTGGAGATATTGCCCATGGCCACATAATCCAGCGGATCTACCTACCCGAGCCTTATCTGTCAGTAAGCTTAGAGAGAGTCGGTTGTGGTGGAAAGAGCCCTCTTGGTTGCAAGAGGTAGAAAAGGATTGACCAAAGGATTTAAGATCAAAGTCTCCAAATGAAGCAGTCAAAGTGGAGAGGAAGAGTAAAGCTATTGTCAGCTGTGTTGTCCAAACCAGAGAACCGGTTATTGACTACACCAGGTTCAGCAGATACAGTCGATTATTAAGAACTGTTGCATGGATCAGAAGATTCATTCCCAACTCGATGAGTTGAAAGAAGAGAGACTTTCAACTCCTTTAACTGGATTAGAAAATACGAGAGGGAGAAGAGTGGCTTATAGCCCATGTACAGAACACAAGTTTTCACGAACTAGCTTCGTTGGCTAAGCATGGTGGTCCCCTGAAGGACAGTAAGCTGGCAAATTTAAATCCATTTCTGTGCCCTACTAGTGGCTTACTTCGCGTTGGAGGAAGAACTCATAAGTCTTCATTACCGGAAGGGGAGTAGCATCCCATTATCTTGCCTTCCAACCATCCTGCTGTGAAGCTCCTGACTGAAGATGTTCACTGGCGTGAACTCCACGCTGGCGTCGAGTATACTTTATCAGTCCTACGACAGAAATTTTGGTTGATCAAAGGAAGATCAGCAGTCCGCAAAACAGTAAAGAACTGCCTAGCTTGTTGCCATTATCACACAAAGCCGTTTATGCAGCAGAGGGCACCCCTTCCTGAAGACAGGATCAAACCTGCACCGCCATTTACCAATGTTGGTTTGGACTTGCTGGTCCATTGTATTTAAAAGACAGAGGTGAAAAGGCTTACATCTGTCTATTTACCAGCGCAGTTAACCGTGCAATACACCTAGAGTTAGTGAGCAACATGACTGTTGAGCGATTTCTCCTTGCCTTGACACGAATGGTGGCAAGAAGAGAAATGCGCAGTATTATTTGGTCAATGCAAAAACATTCAAGAGGGCTGAGAAAAATCTGCAGCAATGTTGGAGAGTACTTGAAGCTAACAAAACTCAAGTCGTGTTGTCTGAAAGAAGATTCAGTGGAAGTTTATCATGAAGAGATGCGTGGGATGGGTTTTATGACCATCTTGTGAACAGTGTCAAGACACCCCTAAAGAAAATCTTTGCCAAAGCAATACTGGATGCTGAACAGCTGACAACCATTTTAGCTGAGATTGAGGCACGCTGAACAGTCGTCCTCTTACTTGCCTAAGTGCAGACCCTGGTGACTACAGCGTGATTACTCCAGCTCAGATTCTCATTGGGAGAAATCTTCAAGCTTCTCCAGCTAAGGACACCCATGTTACGGAACACACTTCTAGAAATATCACCAAAAGTGTTCAGAATCAACAAAGACTTGTCAATTGACTTTGGAACCTTTGGCATGCTGAGTACCTGAAGTTTTGACACCCCTCAAAAAATGGTTTACGGTTGGTCGCGAGATACATAAAAGTGACTTGGTCCTTGTTAGCGAAGATCACTCAGCTCGGGGTCAGTGGCAACGTGCGCGCGTGGATTCCAACCATCCAGGTCGTGATGGTCTTATCCGGTTACACCTTTTTGAAGCCTGTGATGCTTATCTTGCTGCTGAATTTGACTGAACTAACAAAGAAATATTGACAAATATTGAGCTTGATGAGAACATTATTGATCAATTTGTTGATGCACTCCATGCATCGGGCGGGGGGATGTTCCGCACTGAAAGTTTTTCCTGTTTCATTGTTAGTTTACGGACGTGTGGGAACTAGGCCCTACGTTAGTCTTCAGGGACTCGGACCCCCCTTTTGGTTTTTTTACATGTGCTTTTGCCCTTGGGTTGTGAATTCTTGTAGTTTGATGATCATGTTTATATTTCGCAAATAGAGCCGATTTATGCAATAATTAAACTCGAAAAGCTTGTACATCACTTGCCTTCGGCTCGTGATTTACAAGCTTTTCTCGTGTTCTCCCAACATTCCGCGTGGGTTATCACGCCGGTAAACCCATAGAAAGTGTGGTCTACTGCTTTTATAAAATAGTTTTAAGTTTTCTATGAGTTTACCGGCACAATAAACCATAGGTTTTTAACCAATCAGAACGCGCGTACTATCGTAGTTATTTTATAAATCGTTTGAAACACCTGGGATCCAGATAAGTGTAACTTTCATTAGGGTCGACCGTTCAACTTCATTCATAAACAACTGGACCACAGATGGAGTTACATTATGATCTGCCTTTACAGTTCCTTTAGATATAGCATTTCGCTTTCCACAATAACGGAAAAATTGCCGCCTGGGCTAATGTAGCAGGTTAATGACGTGCGAAATAAAAGCTCAATCATTTTTCTTACAAATTCTTTTGGCATTTGACACCTACAATGACAAAAAACTGATGCAATTATTACCATAGGTTGGATATGGTGAGGTTCATCCTCGTACGTGGATTGGAAAGACCGTTGGCAGCGCATGCGCTGTTTGTGGAGTGCTTGTCATTGCTTTACCAGTGTCCGTGGTCGCCAGTAACTTCTCTCTCTACTACACATACGCCAAAGCGAGGCTCAACTTGCCCCCCAAGAAGAGGCGGGTGGCTTTTTCCCATGCTCTCACGTCCATGCACGCTCAAAGAACACAGTCTGCCAAAGAAGATGAAGTTTATGAGTACAAATTTATGTCTCTGTGCAGCGAGAGACAGACAGATCGTAGTTATCCTGCCTCGGAGGTCTCTATAAGCTGCACTATGACTCCAAGAGGCAGTCTGAAGAAGTCCTCCTTCTTGTCTTTGCGTTCAATGTCGAGGATGCTCAGGCCTTTGAAGCGATCCACTGCAAGTCGCAGTAAGTCCTTAAATTCGGTGTTTTTGGATCACCAGCCTCAGAGGGAAAGGTCAACAGACAGGATAACGCTAAAGTTTGATCCACCATCTAGATCTCCATCAGCCATCGACATAGCAAGAGACCAAAGAGAAGGTAAGATCTTGAACGATAAGTGCTAGTAAAAGGGTATGGTTCTGCTCCGATCCGTGATTTTGAACAATTCTCTGGTGGTACAGACAGGCCAAGAAATTAGAAGAGCCCCCAGAAATGAAATGAAATACAATCGATCCCGATCATAATTCTTAAAAGACTGCTAATTCTTGGCCTCCTTCTCCTTCAATGCTGATGTTCAGGGCCAGGAGAGGGAAGCGATACATGTATTCGTGAAACCAGTTAGTTATGTTGTGTTTTCCGGAAGTATTTCAACAAATTATGACCGGGTAGCCCTATTTGTGAGTTCAGATCGTAGGTCCACAACATCTTGGTCGTGTGTTCAGTTGTTTATGTCTATACTTTTACGGCTGATTTATAAAACGGTTCACTCTTTGGGGTTTCACTGCCAAAGAAAAACGTCACAGGCGCCACGGAATTGACCTTTTACCACTTTTAACCCATTCGCCCCTGAACCGCCCGTGCGGATCCACGTCCTTTCTACCCCTTGTGACGTCATCAGTTTTAACGGTCAAGGACAACTTTGTCCGCTAACTTGTGCAGAGTGAAGAGATCTTTCAAACCATACCAGAATGAGCACAATTCAGTCAAGGACACCGGAGAAAGAGGCAAAAAACCATGTAACATTGACCTGAAAATCTCCATGAAAATCTTGTTCCATTGCCCACCTACCTTTCCTTTCACCTAATCCTAAGATCCTAAAAGCTTTCCTAAAAACTCTTCCCACCAAAATGAAGCCTACTAAATGCCCAGGAAGAGAAAAAAATAAGGCAAGAAAAGAGAAAAAAGAGGGGAGGAGAGAAAGCGAAAAGTAAAAGTCAAGACTGCTGGGTCACTTTTAAACAAAAAAACCGAAATTTTGCTTTCTGCGCATGCCCGAACTTCGCATTTTGCATCTGGATCAGAAGGCCGTGAAGTGTATGACCTGTGAACCGGTTTGTGGTAAGTTTTAGCTCTCTATAGTACGACAGTGACCAGAAAACCATTCGACTAGCTTCAAAACGCGTTTTTCGGCAAAATCTCCAGGAGCGAATGGGTTAAACATAAATTGTTTAAATCCTTCACTTTGACAGTTTTGCCTCTCTTTTGCACTAATTACTTTCACATCAGCCCGTAAGTGCCCTCCTATAACCTTCCGAACGTGATCTTAACAGATTGCTGTTACTTGACAGGTCCCCAAACGACAGGAGAAAATGCATTTCTTTATATTCCTGGAGAAGACAAAGGCGAGTCAAAGAAGGAAACCCACAGGACCCCATTATTAAATAAATCACTCTACCCACTTCACCTCCGACGGGGAGCCGTGTCACCAGCGTCTTTTAGCCTCAAAAGCGCGTCTACGGCGTCCAGTCTAAATGCTTTACCGCGGGGATACAACGAACTTTGTAATGCTCTGAGTGGCAAAGGACCCATAATCCTTCTTTCAGACCAGGCCAGTGTACAAAGCCTTTGCTCGTTAAATTCTCGCATGACGTGTTCGTGTTCAAGTTTGAGGAACCCAGGAAGTGATGGAACACAAGGGACAACCGCAAATGCAGATGGGATTGGTGGAACCCTTATACACACAGAGAGCGATGGGAATTTTACAAGCAGCCTTCCACAAGTGACTTTAAGCGTGCCTGTAGAGTACCATGGGAAGAGAAGACATAGTAATGGATATGACGGTCTTTCTGCAGTGTTTCGCGGGAAATCTTCAAACGACATCTCTGAGAAGAATCTTGAGACAAGCGAAAACTTAAATAAATCAACCGACGTTCCACAGGAAGGAAGTGAAGAAGGGGAAAATTTAAGTAAAAGTGACCCTAATATCGAAAGTGCAAATAGCTTGTCCGGAATGGTACGTAATACAGAAGACACGCAAAGCGAAATGACATCACCTATCAGCTCGTGTAACCACTGTTGGGAAACAAGTGCAAAGACAATAAACTTTCAAAACTACAACGAAACGGAAAATTCAGCTCATAACGCTTTGCAAAACGATAACGGTTTGAATGAGGTAGGAACTAAGTTACCAGTTACACCAGTGCCAGTTGTTTGTCGAGCTGTTTCTGCTTATTCCATTATGGAATACAGCCTTGGTAGAAACGCGTTGCCAAGCAACTGCCAAGGTCCAGCCGGCTGTAAAGACTTGTGTGACGATGACCAAGAATCAAAAACGCCCACGCGGCGGCACAGTGCATTCACACCTTGCAATGTTTCTACAACTTCCAAAGCAATACAAGAACAACGTGGTCGATTGAGTACAGGTTGTATGAAGGAACGTGTGGCTGAATGCCAGCCGCTGATCAACGATAATGAAGTAGAGGCATGCACAAACGGAGAGTTTGACAAAGACGAGGAGTTGGGAGACGCTCTTGATGTTAATAATCAACAATGTAACCAGGGAGGTAAAAGGTCGCGGAAAATCGGTGTTAGTGCTGGTTACTCACCTGTAAATGAGACTCAAACAACTAATCCTTTATCAGAGGACTTAACAGAAACACGGCCTAAGAACCACTGCGATGAAGATATTATCTATCCATGCTCATCGAACGGGTATGTTCCTAGCGCAGCTGTGCAATATGAACAGGTCCCTCAGTTAGAAAGAACGTCTCGAGTTTAATAACCTGTCAAATACATTATAGTCAATCCTCCTTGGTACTTGTAAAAGACTACTATTATTATTATTATCATCATCATCATCATCATCATCATCATTATTATTAATGATTAAATGCTAATTGAATGATATTGTCCACGCAAGTGTTCGATGAGTCATTAATGAAGTTGCCAATACACTGATCGTTGCTAATGATTAATGATCATTTTTCACATTAGTCGTATGAAGAGTTTATTACATTTCAACGTCAGAGTTACACTTACAAGTTCATTCTGTTTTAAAAATCTTGCTGTTGATGCTACTGGTCGACTTGAGGTCAATTTTTGAACAAACGGGTTATTAAAAATTCATAAATCTCAATCGACAGCGTATCATATACACAAATGATAAAAAGAAAACCGAAATGGTTACTTGATCATCTTAAGTTTTAATGTACAAAACAAAGTTATTATCTCCAAAGGCTTTTCTTATTTTCATACAATATTTTAATTCAATAGTTAAAGTAGGGTCTTAATGAGTGAGATAATGGCCATCTTGGAATTTCATACTTTTTTGAAACAATAAATAAAGAAAACAATCTTGTTCAGTAAATACAAAAGGTACTCTTTCATTGTTGTTGACCGTTAAACAAAAATGAAAATATAATTCCAAGAAAATACCACACACTTTGCTTAAAAGAAAAAACATATTTTTGTTCTAGTTTTGCGGATGAGAGATAATTGGGTTAACTTGTCTTACCCACAGAGCTAAGTATAATTTAGAAGCTGTTAATAATTTGTCTAAATAATTGTCAAAATATCATGATGTTGTAAAATAGTAAGATAATTGTTGAACTGATAGCGAATCTGAATTTAAAAGAGATTTCAACAATTTTTCCAGTCTTTTCACCGGAGCTCAAAACATTATAGTATGCACAACAAGCGTTTACGCCAGTCAAAAAATTATTTTACATATATCACATTAAGACATGGATACTTTTGGTTGGGAGAAGGCAGCTCGTTAATAATTTAATCTCGTCAAAGGCCCAAATATCTTTCAGAATTAATCCCAGTTCTCTGATCCCTCCAGTTTTGCAGCACACACAATCCCATGATTTTATATCTTACTGTTCATCTTTTGCCCACATATGGAGCTTACTAAACATAAACAGCCTGAGAGTTGTCTTAAGCTGAAGTTATAGTTTCTTGAAAGGAAGCCCGGCAAAAGCAATTTGTAAGATTCGTTGATACCTAACTCTATGTGGCTCATTACAATTGAGAATCTTAATTCTCTCATCTAACCGATTGTTGATAGCTTTCAGTGATTTGGTAATTTGATCCATTTCATGGTAAAACGTTTGTGCCTCTCTGACACGCCGTTCTCGGTCTCGTTGCAGCTGTTCATATACCGTTCCCTTTTTCCGACCAACGCGTCTTAGCCGTTTGTTTTTGGCCAAAGTTTCGTAGTCACCTCGTAGTCTCTGGATGGCTTCTTCCCTGCTCTTCGGAGAAAGCTTTTTCTTCTCAGCTTTACTTGTCTGCGCAGCCGATAACCTGGGAAGTTTTACTTTATCCGCGACAACTTTGTCCTTTGTGGACACTGAAGTAACGTCTGTTACACTCCTGGCCAGTGACAATTCTTCACCACTAAAGGATTTCCGACGAACAGAAGCGTCAAAAAACGCGCCATTGGGTTTAGTGGCCGGACTTGGCGGCACTGTGTAGGATGATCCAGAAGGGCAGACAGCAGGGATATTCAGGAAATTACTGGCTGGAATCATGGAGGGGGTATCACGATTCACAATCTCGGTATTCCCGACAGGCGAACATTCACTTTCCGAGATTGCAACGATGGGCTTGATATTCAAGCGCGTAGTATGTTCTTCTTCCGAAATGGCTTCAATAGGTTGTTTATTTACTTGTTCCTGTTTACTCTCCTTGAGCGGAATATCTTTTTCAGTTTTGGCTAAAGTTGTTCGCTCTGCTTGGGACTCGTCTGGGGTTCGAATATATTTGCTGTAATTTTTGATGACACTCTCAGCCAAGGATAACCGCCGATTCAAGATCTTCGAATGGGCGTCTCTGGAAGGTAGCGTGTAGCGCCGTCCCGTATCCCTGCTCTCACCTGGTGTCTGAGGCGCTGATGAACGACGGGAGGACGACGCAGACGTGTGGCCCTCTGACGGAGGCGTCTTCGCGCTTTCTTTGCTTGATGTCTTGTTACTTAAGTTCGCAGTTTCCTCATCATCACCCTCTTCTTCGCTGTCATCGCTGTTTTCTTCACTGGGAACGTCACTCGCTTTTTTCTTGACAAAGCTCGGTGTTTCTTCCTCGTACTCAAAAGAGGAATTTTTTCCTAGCCTTTCACGAAGTCTCTCCCAAGCTGTATTCGGCTGATCACTCTGATTCTGAAACTGCTGTCGAACCAGGCTACGAACATAATCACTGCTTCTAGAGAAACTCCCTAAATGAGACATAGAAATTCTTTCATTTGTCCACTCGCCTGATGATTTTGCACCGTCCCCCATTTTTAAAAGATTCCAGAAAAGATTAGACAACTGCACAACGTGGAAATGTTTCCTGTTCTCAGGGAAAAAGCGGGGAAAATGACAATTTGATGACGGGAAATACCACTAAATAACCCGATCAAAGAATGCCGAACTGAATCATATTTGTCCTTACTAAATACAATGCGGCGTGCTGTGTAACTATGGCTCCTCTTTCATGATGCCTGTACCAATCAAAGCTTTCTCCACATTATTATGTATACTTCACACTGATAAAATCATTATTGATTAGACAAGGTATAGTATAAACAAGTTGATTAGTGAGCATTTCAATATACTCTTGTTTCAACATATTTTGGTAGACATTTGTTTTCTTGTGAACCGGTATGATCTGTGAAAACGACAAATAGCAGGGGACTGTTTTTACGCAGCTTCGAGTAACAGCAGCTTTTAAAGGGTTGTTCGGGAATAGATAAAAACTCTTGATAATATCTCTCACCTGGCAGGTATCAGTAATGCCAATGCCATATATAAGTATTTTGATTGGACAATTGAACTGCTCTAGAACTACCTCACTTTCATAGCTTCACTCTTTGCGCATCTTAAACTCACAAAATGACCTGCTCCTAGCTGTTTCATGGGTCAGATGGTAAAAACCTTTGCAAGAAGCAAGTGAAAATGGATGACTTCAATGCACTCATAACCCTGTTTTGCTTTTTTTTAATATTTGTTTTTCGCTCTTCCTGAGTTGGAAAAACTTCGAATTATCGATCCGAAATCGAGCAAGTGGATATAATTTTACATATATTAGAAGAATGTTAAAGTAAAGAACTAATTAACCTATACACAGCAGGAGATCAAGTTAATTACAGGTTATCACCTTAAGATACATTTATAAATTCCTGTTCAATAATCAGGTTAAGATTTCTTTGTTACATCAAAAAATTCAGGACTTGAAATTCTCTCAGTGCATAACAACCACATTTTCAAAACTTTAATTATCTTTTCATACATTCTTTACGAAATACAAAATTTTAACTCGAGCTTAGTTTTTGCTGACAAGGTAAAACATTTATTTTATAAAGAAAACTTCAGAAAGAATCAGAAATTTCAAATTCTCCAAACTATTTGAAATATCAGCGCGTAAAACCGCAACGTATTTTAATTGGTTTTCACATTAAAATTGGTACATTAAGATAACAGTGTTGATGTAAATATAGTTTTCTTGGTCTCTCGCTATTTATATTTAAGAAAGCAATAAAACAAAATGAATTGTATTTATAGACAAAATTAAACAAAACATTTAATCGTTCAAACATTATTAGAAACCAACATTAAGAATACACTTCACGTGTCCTCAGTTGGCTCAAAAAACCCGTCGCATTCCGAGTTTCAAATTGTCGCTAAATAGAGATGTTAAAGCTTAAAATTTGAAGTACTACCAACGTGACGCCCTTGTTTGGCTTCTCTGGACTTAGATCGAGAATCCCCCTGACTCTAAATCTCCTTATTGAGCGTTACATGAAAAATTTGAAGCTGGATCAATTTGCAAGATGTACCTCCAATGGCCATCAGCAGGGTGGCGGACTATCCTGACGGAAAATATCATATCGTGTTGTATTTTTTACGATCATGTCATACCACCAGATCCACTGACAGCTTTTCACTTTCAATCTGAATCACCTCATTGTGTAGCTAATGCTTACTGATAACAGTTCATGGCAGATTATAACTGTAACAAATCATACATATTCATATTGTCAAGTTATGAGCACTTTAACAACCTAAAATGACCGTCATTAACAAAACCGCGACATCAACAAATTCCAGTCCACCTGACCTCGCATATATTTCTCGCTCCTCGCACGGTTTGTAACCGCCGCCCGGTTAGCTCAATCGAATAAGCATCAGTCTGCCGAGCGGGAGATTGCGGGTTCAAACCCTGGCCGCAACAACACTCAGGGTTTAAAAAGAACGGAGGAGTATGTGCTACATCTACAAATGGTTAGACTTTTCAGTCTCTAAGATGGAAGGAAAACCCTGAGCGCTTACTATTTGTACGGAAATTTCGGTGAAAAATTTCCGTCAAATGGTATTGGTATTTTTTTTTTGGCACCGAAAAGGGGAACGGGATTGACTTGTACCATTTACAAAATACCGACATGAAGCCTGGCACTAGTAATCCAAACAAATGGTACAGAAAATTTCGGTCGTTTCGGTAAAAACGGGAAAAAGGTAGTACCTCGAAAGCTATCACTTTTTTCCGGAAAATTTCCACCGGGGTGAGCCGTTCCATCTGAATTCTTCCCGGAATTTCCGGGTTTTCTATACAAATGGTAAGCGCTCCCTGTGCCCCTTCTCAAAGCTCTTTCACTGGTTTGATTCTTGTGGAACAAGTAAGAACCCACAGACCCCAGTAGTGTGGTCAACCTTAGAAAACAAGAGTGCGTCTATGTGTGTTTATGACTGTAGCAGGACCTTATCAGCTTTCAAGGGGCCTTGTGCATACAACCTGCTTTATCAATCAAATTATGATGATGATGATGTTTCGTTCTAGTCACCCATCACGACATGATTCTAAATTTCTAACCCTCTACGTTGTTCTAAAACAGTAATGAACCGACCAAACACATCACTACAAAGTGAAGACCAGGGGTGCTTACCATTAAGATGGGAAACAGGCAATTCCAGTTGAAAAATCAAATGTTTCGCTATTCGGTTTGGAAGTCTTCAGAAAATATGCACTGTGATTTGAGGCGATGCAACTTTCCTAATATGTTCGACTGAATTGGATAGCCTAACTTTGTACCCAGTCGTTCTGCCGCTATGTCAAATTTTACAGTTTTATGTACGAATATCAGTGTACAAGATTTTCCTTCGGCTGGTTTGTGTAAATGGTAAGCACCCCGGAGGTGGCTGTTCACAATCAAATTCACATAATGACTACACCACTGAAGTATCAATCAATGCCAAGCGAAAGCACTGCAATAACACTGCCTTCAGAGCCGACAAAAGGAAGTCTTACCTGACATTTCTATACTTCCTTTATACACGGCTGATTGTAAGATTTTCTTGTGTACGTTTTTTGCTTGTATTTTCGACGACGCCTGAAAAGTTAACGGAAAAAACACAATTTTGGATATCTGTTATATTAACCAAATTAAGCTGCACAAGCAGTTAACACTTCATTGGCAAGTAAAAGTTTAGAATGAAGTGAATTTTAAGTGCTCGTGCACAAGGAGAATTATTCTTTACTTTAAACGAATCAATAACAACAAAGTAATGAATGAGCAGCCTACAAGCAAGCCCTCCAATCATGGCGAGCGAAGCAAGCAGCGAGAGGCTCTTTCCCCGCCCCTCGTACTCACGTCTCCTTTCGAGAGCGGCTCTCGCGTAGCTTTTCGCGATTCTCCCAAATGGAGAGCTTATTTGCGGGCTAATGAGTGAGGGGGTAGACTTACTTTACAGGTTGCCTGGTTTCAATGATGTTTCGCCGCTGAATACTCTTAAATCTGTCTTCAAATAAATTTCCTTCTTGCTATTAAAAGACAAAAGAAATGATGTGGCGGATTTTAAAAGCATTTCCGAAACTACCAGTGTCATTGAGATGTACGAAGTTGTAGCCGCTAAACTGAACGACAATTCAGAAATTAACGACAGCCACAAGCCCACCAACCTTAAGAGTGCGCAGACTTCCAGTGATCTCTCCACTAAGTTGAAGTTCGATATTCGGTGCTTCATACCTTACACTAAAGTCAAGTTTCAAACTTAATACGACAACTTTACACACGTTAGAAGACCCAGATCGATCGCAAAAAGACAGCTTTTCAAACATAAAACATAAAAACAAAATCATTCCTTAAAATTCTATTTGATTGAGTACATCTTCGCGCTAGGCCCAACATAATCTCTTCCTCACTTTCAGAGTCAAAGGATACTGATATCTACTAAGCCTCTTGGGTTTTGTAGCAGAAACATTTTTTATTTCTTCTTTTTTTTGCTTGCGTTCTTCAGACTTCTGCTCGGCCATGTTTATTTCTTTTTTCAAACTTTTTAATCTGTTATAAAAGTAATAAAGACGATTAATACATGTAGTTATTATTCAACTGCCCTCAGTAGAGTACAAATAACGCTAAAAAAAGAGTACAAATTGAAATATCTCATGGTATTTGTACTCCAGAAGACCGGTTTAAATCCCGCACAGACGTCGCAAGTGGTAAAAAATGCATCGTCTTGGGAAGAAAATAACGCAGTAGAGGCCAAATTAAAGGCTTAAATAAACCGAGTTTCTAGAGCAAATTCGTCTGAACAACAATGATATCAGGTCGACATTTATTAGAGAGAGAGCATACAAACTTGATGCTAAAGATACAACACAGAAGATGAAAACAGACCTGAAGCTGTGTGATAAAGATGATGATGGCGAAAATCCGTGAAAGAAAAAAAATACAATCCCTAGCGAGCGAGGAACTGAACAGTCTTGACCTCTAGTTCAGTTAAAATGTGAGGAAACTCCACATGGTAGACATAAGACGTTCTCTTTTTGTTAGTAACCTTATAATCCGCTCAGTTTTTTGTGAAGTACTGCATTCAGAGGCCATTCGTAGAAAACGTGACAGTACTCATCAAGATGTGGCGTTTTTTAGAAGGCGTTTGGTCGCCTTCGGTGGACAAAAAAGGTGAAGCAGAAGCCGTTGCCTTATACGCATCAAGATGTGACGTTTTCTAGAAGATGTTTCGTTGCCTTCGACGAAAAAAAAGGTGACGCTGGAACCGCTGCCTTATACGGGGGTCTAAAACGTAAGCACACCGTCTTGCCTTCATGTCAAACTGATCGACCGTGGCCACTTGTAAAACGTAAATAAACTGTGTTTAGCCTAGGCCTGTAGGCTGTTGTACTTAACAGAAATGTTCAAATTGCACATAATTTTTTCACCATTCGCTCATATAATTCTGCACTTTTGTCCGGGCAACCCAAATTGTAACTTGGGCAAGTATGCCATCAGGCTTACTTGCCCGGCTGACGACTCTGAGAAAAAATGAATATGGATCCGTGACACCACACACTAAACCGTCCAATAAGATATATCTATTTGAAAAGGCAATTCCTCTTCTTCCTTCTTTAATGCAGTTAAACTTACCTAAAAATCTCATTTTGTCGTAATTTTTTCTTTTTGTCTTCCTCTAGCCTCTTTTGCTGTCGAGACAAAAAGAAGAATGAGCCTTTTTAACTACTTTTTTTTGCTATATTAGTTAAAAAAATATATCTATAAAAGAGTATTGCCAGAGAAACAACTTGAAAGTAGACCAATAATTTAGTTTCTTTATCAGGTTTCAATCCCTCACTATCAGTTGAAGAAGCAATCTTTTGCACTTAGAATTAATTACAGTCGAACCTCTCTAATACGGACACCGAAGGGACAGAGCAAAGTGTCCGTATTAGAGAGGTGTCCGTTGTATAGAGGTCATGAATATTACGTCACTTTAAAGGCTCCATTGATGGTATTAAGTGTTCTTTAAGTCAAAATTGGCCCAAACGGCAAATATGGCAAACTATAATACAATTTCCGAACAGTAACATAATAGAACAGTAATAAGTGTAGCGAACACTAACATACAGTAGAGTATTTAATGAAAGTTCTTTGTTATTGATTCATTTTGCGTTAAAGAAGTCTCTAGATCCCATGTGAATATATTTTCACTGGACCGCACAAACTCATTGAGCGTTTGGAGAAGTGCTTGGATCTTACAGAAAACCCAGCTGTCCGTAAAGATAGTCTTTCAAGTGAAAATGTCGAAAAGAAAAGAGGTAGAAAAAGGAAAGCAACAACTGGAGAGTCTTCAAAGAATAAGAAATCTTGATGATAAATGGCAATGACATGTCGATAGTATAATTTTTACCGATTGAAAACATGATACTGTTATCGTATGAACAATGAGACAATTGATTACACTCTGATATGTAACGACAAACAGGAAATCGTGTTGAATAAGAACTGTCATCATTGGAGTGTCCGTAATAAAGAGGTTCAGTTTGTATGAATTTTCTCTTTGGGGCCGAGATTTCGTGTCCGTTGTCCGTATTATAGAGGGTCCGTATTATAGAGGTTATTTTTACAAAGAATGTATGGGCATTTTCCCGGGACCAAGTGAACTGTCCGTATTAGAGAGGTGTCCGTAAGGAGAGGTTCGACTGTACACTGTATGTACACATGTACTGTAATTTTAACTTCTATTAAACATATTTTGATTATTTTGCAAAATTAAGTTGTACTTGTCATTTATTTTAATTACTATATTTCTCTATTTATTACATTTACTAATTTGCATTGTTTTCCTTAGGCATCTCAGAAAGTGAGAACATGAAAATATTTCGTTTGTCAAATTATTTCGCTTTTTAGCTTTTTCACGCTAAACACTACTTACCTCTTGTTGTAGTTCTTTCTCTTTTCTTCTTTGCTGTTTTGTTTTTCTGTTCACAGCCCTGACTGGAGCAGTAGACAACCCTTCCTGTTCATCATCGCTGTTTAATTCATCTTCTTCCTTCTCCTCTTCATTGAAGAGTCCCTGACTCATTTCTTCTGTCCATGTTGGCTAAATATCACAAAAAAATGGATGTTTTACCTTGAGTTACAACTTTCCACTGTTTTCACAGTTCATTTCGTTCAATTGCGGGTAAATGGAACATACACTTGGTCTAAAATATCACATGGATGATAATTCATAATCAGTCGATAGACTTCCATGAGACATTATTTTTTGGCATGCAAGGGAAGTGCATGTAGTGTCTGATACCTTAGGGCTAGTCAGAGTTCATAATCTTTAAAGCTCTTCAAATTCTAGGAATTTTTCATGACTTTTTCCATGACCTTTTCAAGTTTTCCATGACCTTAGGTTTAGCTGTCACTTTCAAAAATTTTCAAAACCTTCCGTGTTTTAAGGTATTTTTTTACCTTAAACAGTTCAACAGCCACCAACTCTGGTATGCACAAAATGGGGTACTATTCGCACTCTTTCATTGCTTCTGGTTATCTTTCACTGTCTTTGCTTTGTCATCTGCGGTAACTAATCTACCAAACAAAACCTTCTATGATCGACAACTAAATTCCATGACTTTCCAGGCCTGGAAAATGAAATTCTTAGATTCCATGACTTTCAAGGTTTTCCATGACCAGTAGGAACCCTGATAGTGGATTTTGCTATCAGACTTGTGAATTCTGATCTTGGCTTGCCTGACAGGAAAGGGAAGTTTTTTGGGGAATTCTTGTTATAGAAGAACTCTAATCAATCCTGCTCATCAAATTTTGGGGAGATGGGGATGGAGGTGGGGGGGCTACATGTAGTTAAAATGACTCATGGAATAGTACATGTTAGCTTCAGCTTGCCTGAATGGCACGCTGTAAAACTGACTTTCTTTACACCCTGTCGTCGAAAATAGAATCCCATCTGATAATTCCATCAGCAGTTAATTATCACTGTGCCTAATAAACTGTTTATAGATACATGAGACTTTTAATGAGCCTGATTATTAATATTTGCAGAAAGCACATGTGGTTTAATCTCTGGAGTCTGTGGTTTCTTTCCACAAAAAAAATACTAATATGCATGCGGGTGGATATGGTACAAAACTGGAGTAAGATATTTTATCCCATGCCATAAAGAATTCTCAGCCAATCAGAAAGCAAGAAATCAGTTGAATATTCTGCAGAATGCAACTGTAGTATTAATTTTTACAATCAAATCCTGACAATGTGCACTGCCTTAACATTTTCCAGCCACAACCAAACCAGATACCAACAGAAAAAACTTTTCATTATACAAAAAGTGCCAGATGCAACTTTATACAACAAAGTAAAACTCCAGTTTTAACTACCATTCAGAATTCTAGGAAGTCAAATTTAAAAGAGTAACCCAAAACGAAATCAAACAGTCTACAACAGACATATCTATTAGTCAAGGTCAACAAAAACAACCCAGCTAACCCATGCTACAAAGACCAAAAAGGATCCACATTTCAAAACAACAAGCCAACAGAAATCCAGCAAGAAACGTTTGACAGATGAGTTGCAATTTTTTTTCAGGTAGACAGAGGGGAATAGGAATTTTATTCATTGATAAGCTATGGTTCATTTGGAAATCGCTGTTTACAGATTGTACATATATTTTTAAAAGTGGCTTTCTTTTTGTTTACCTGTGATGTCAGGTTTCTCCATTTTATGTCATCATGTTTATTGGCATGGGATAGACTAGTTATACAACTCTTCCTCTTGGTATGCCATAAATGTCCCAATTGTTATATTACGGTGAATGTCTGAAAGTATTGCATAACTACTAGTATGCATACAGTTTAACAACTAAATCACGGTCATGTGATTACCAAAATTTCTTGGACTTTCTTAGGAATGGGGCTCCACTCGCACACGCGAGGAGCTCTTATACAATGAAACAGACAGCTTACCAAGTTGGCAGCCTCTTCAGGAGACAGGAACTTCACTTTTCTTTTAAATTTTTCTATTTCTTTCACCTTCTTGAGCTCCACATCATGAGCTGTTTTAAGCAACAACTAAAAGCAGGTAAAGATTGAGTCAAAACAAGACATGCATGGAAAGTATCATGGTATGAAGGGCTGAGGGCTTATTAAAACAAATATTTCAATATTTCTTGGAGAGCTTGAGCAACAAAGGGTTTAATTTTAAAGATCGAAGGGTAAGAGTTTAACATTTTTCACTCATAAAATTTATTAAAAAGTTGTGAGACGGTATAGGTACATGTAAGCTATACCTTTTGAGACTGTGGACAATGGCATGACCATTCACTAAAAAATAACAAAACGTGTCAAACAGCACTTCCACAAGGTACATAACTGTTCTTCTGTATTTTACAAAGTGACATAATTAGTATTACTTTTCTTGAGTTTTAATTATAAGCACTTTTTGAGGTTAAAAGGGTAAGATGCTTGAGAAGTGGGTTCCCTGTAAAATTATGAGAGCCACAGGCCTCAGATAAGATCTACCTGATGATCATCATAGGTTGGATTGTATGATGCTCCAGGATGGCAGATTTCAACAGCTTTCAGTTTTGATGTCTTCCTGTTGGTAGTCTTTGGTTTCTAAAAACAAAACAAAATAATCACTGTTTACATCAAGTTAAAAGTGGCCTTGAAAGAGTTTCATCAGTATGTACATGTACGTGTGCTTTTTGATGGAATATACACAGCCACTTACCTTCACTTTTATTTTTCTTGTAGTTGTCAGGAAATGTTCATCTCCAGTTTGAGCATCTAAAAAATCCACAAAACAGTGTATAATCTTACAAATCCATTTAATTCAGATTCCATTACTGTACATTAAAGCAATGTAAATCTAATTTGTTTACACAACACAACATTATTGTGTACTTAAACATGAAATAGCACATTTTAGTTACTTGTCACAATGATATGTACAGTGAATCCTTGGTTTGTAAGTCTGGTAATATCGGATATTAGTAAAATCCAACTAGTGGTCTATTATCAATGCTGCATTCTGATTGGTTGAACTACTACCAGGCTATATGTTATAGCCCACTAGAAGCGAAAAGTGCCAGCTTTTTGGCGCCAAAAAAGGATTTAAGTCTAGCTTTAACTAGCTTAAGTTGTTTTGTCTCAATATTTTTGACCAACTAGTTGGATTTTATAAAAACAATTATTCCTCTCGCCCTCATGGCCTCTGAGTCAATAGCCCATTTGGCCTTCGGCCTCAAATAGAGAAGGTTCAGAAAAGAGTCTTAAGAATTCTATTCCCAGAAATTTCACATAGAAAGGCCCTGGAAGATGAGGGTTTAAAAACAGTCTTTCATACACGCAACCAATTATATAGCACTCTGTTTAAACAAATTGTAGAGAGCGATGGCCAGCATAAGCTAGCTGGCCTGCTGTCCCCGTGAAACAACAATGAGAGATATAACTTTAGGAATAGGCATATGTTTTCAATCCCATGTGTAAAAACAAAGAGGTTAATAGAAATTCTTTTATAATGCACTATACAGATAAGCAACAATTGTAAACAGAACCTTTATACTAGATCTGATGTAATTTTATCATTGTATGATAGTTCTTTTTCTTATGATATAGTTAGGAATTTTTATAAGGTTAAATTTTTATCAACATGTACATAACACAAGTAATTCAGCTTATAGCTACTGGTTGTGATTTTGAATAAACGATTTATCTATCTCTTGACTCAGAGTCCATTCGGGCTTACGGAATAATTGTTACATAACACAGTTTAGTATTTTCCAAATCAGTGGACAACAATTTGATGCATTTTAATTGGATCCTATACATGCAACCTGGAATATCCTTTGCTATTCACTCTTTTAAGGACAAGAGTCAAAAAGGCACATTATTTTGTACAACAGTTTCAGAAAACCTATTTGTAGCCATAAATGGAGCAGTTGTACCAACAAATGCCAAGAAAACAAACTGAATCCAATTTAGCTTGTTGGTGTTCACTGGTAGGTAGAAAATTATTTGGGGGGCTGAATTTGCAACACGATCTTATTAAAATGCATATGACAAATCCCCAAAATATTTTTAATACAATCAATAAAAAAAGGTATTTTATTTTCAAAAAATACATTTTACTAAACAGTAATTTCCCTCTTTCCCCCCTCCCCCCCCTTAAGGTAGGTACAGCGAGATTAATACCGTGACACATCCTTCCTGGTATATTTCCACCATTATTATAGTTATTTACCTCTCCCTGAGGGATAGTTGTATAATATCAATGTGTGTTACTGGATGTGTGAATTCATACCTTCTGTCTCCCATAAATCAAACACTTTGTCTTTACTATCTTGACTGTTAGCCTCCTTTGCATAACCCATATTACTTTTCTCTTTTTCCACATCAGAATCAGAAGACTCCTCAAGATCTCCTGCTTTTCTGATCTTTGAGACAATCTTTCTTTTCTTGTTACCAACCGGTTTAATCTTGGTTTCTGGCAGAACCAACTGGTCTGCTTTCAGAAGTTTTCTTTTTCTTGACAGCAACTTAGACTCATCTGCATAGTTTAATAAGGCACCAAGTTACAATCTATGTAACTAAATATGACATAAAGAACACATTATTTAGGACCCATCAGAGATGTATTTGCTTTCCTCTTGACCTGCCAAGTGTTTTTCCCTGGGTTTTCAGGACTGTTAGCCTGTTCAAACGCAAGGTCTTTCTTTCAAAAATTCTTCAAGTTCCAGTCAACAAGCATTTCATAAAATTAATAATAATCATAACATACACCACTGAGTAATGAACACCATCAAGTGCCACATTGAGGCCATTGCCATCAAGCAAAGAAAACCCTCAGTGAATAGAGACAAGGGACTGCACCTCCCGGCCAATTACAATCCTCTCCTGGAAATACGTAACAACTAAGTTCTGCAACCAAATTTCCCACTTTACTTCACTGATGAATTTTGAGCAATTCGAAGACATATCTAAATAATTATAATTTACATCACACTTTTTTTGCTCTGCATTTTTAATTTGGAATATATTGTCTCCACCATTTATGAGGCCTTGCCAGGGTAAATTCCGACAAGCGACATGGCTCAAAAAGTAGTGACAGCGCGCAAAATGAAATCGCGACACAAGACATTTTAAAATTCAGATGGGCGACATGGACCCCCCCCCTTGGCAGGGCCTCATTTATAATTTCTGTCACAAATTGGGTTGAGGTGTTGGAGCAATACACTGCAAACTGTGCAGCCCTTCTTTGGAATTTCTTATATAGCATCAGAAACTATGACAGATTGTTAACATTAAAATCTTTTACCATGTCCATCATAAAAATTGCCCATTGTTGCTGAAACCAAGAGATGAGTAAAAAAAAGTGTGAATGACAGTGTCCTTCCCTGGTCCTGCCAACACACATTCATTTGCCTAATGCTACAAAATTTCATTTTTATGAAAACAAAATGCAATGTATGCACAAGAAGGTATTGAGTATTGAGCATACCAGTCACTGGAGATTCTTCAGTATCCTTGTCAACAAAAAACAGTCCTTCATCAGGCTTTTCTGAGACAGGGCCACTATTAAAACAAACAGTAGGAGGTTTAATAACAATGAAATCTGCATCACCAGTATCCAGTCTTAACATGACATAAGTGCTTTGCTTCATTGTTACAATGTTACATCTACAAGTTGTGATCCCACAAGGGGGTGGGGGGGAGGGGCATAAGCAGAAAAATTAATAAGTCAGCCATTTCAAATTCATAAATTACTATTCTTTCTTATTCATTTGGAATTAAAACGACAAATAAATTCATACATTCCTGTAGGTCCTTTTGAAAACCAAATGGGGGTAACCCCCCAGAACAAATCCGAACTCACCATACTGGATCAGTCCATTTTCTAATAATTTGCTAGTGAATAATAAGGAGGGAGGGGAGGGGGGTTTAATAACTATCTTCCCATGAAAAGGGGGGCTTATTAGACAGGGAAGGCTTATTTGAGCTAGGAGAGCTTAATAGCAGAGCTCCACACACGCTAAGCGCGCGTGGGAGCAGAGCCCCATAGCTAAGTAAATCTACGGTCCATCCCAGAAAATTTGGTAATCATGTGGTCTTACACCGCCCACCTGTCCGTCCGCACCACAGGAGAACCAATGTTCGATCTCACACTTTCTAGCTAGTTTGGGAGCGCAGGAAAACTGATATTATTTATTTTATTTTATTTTATTTTATTTGCCACACTAATTACAAAAAATATAGGAAAAGAAGAAGAAGAAAAAAAAAAGAAGTGGCGAGGAGACCTAACAGAAACTATAGGAGCTTATGAGAGGTTAGGCCTCCTCGAACTATGAGCTAGAGCTGTTTCACATCAACTGAAGAGACACATATTGCCAATCAATGTTATGATCAATTCACAGCTGTCAAAACTGGGTATCCGCTGACCAGTATCACCTGAATGTATTGCGGGCTCAGGTGTTGACGCATCAAGTTCAAGTATTTTTTTAAGTTATCCGCTTTTTTTAAAAAAAATTTATATGAAATATGTTGTGTTTATGTGCCGCACAATTAAAATTTTGGTTTCAAACTGACCTCGGACGCGAAAATTCAGCCAGCTAATTACAGGCAAGGAAGACAGTTGCTCTTGACTTTTCTCACCATGGTGACACGTTGGTCATGCTCTACGTCCAATTTTTATGGTCTGATTGGTCAAAATTTGCCAGGTGAGTTCATGCAGAAAATTTATGCAGCATCTTGAAACTTGTTACTTTGACAGCTGAAGCTGACAGAGTTTTGTGTCAACTTGTGATGTTTTTAACTGTCTTTTTCTACTGGATGTACAAAATGAAATTCACCTGCTATCAAGAAGTCCTCTGTTATTCATGGCTAGTTTGTTTATTGGGTTTTTGGTTGAGAAATATGTCGCTTGTCAAAGTCGGAAATACGATTTCGGATGGTATTGTTTTCAGTTTTCACCTTGCTTGAAGTGTAAGAGGGTTGAAAAGTCTGAAGCGATTCTGGCCTTACTTGAGAGGGTTCCAGGAGCTACATCTTGAATGGTAAGCCTGAGTAATTATTATATTTGATGTTTGTTTTTTATATCTAATTAAATGAAGTCAAGCGTAGTTTATGCGGCTATTTAGTTTATGCACGTTTGTAAGATTTGAAACAATGATCTGACCGAGTATATATATCAGGTTTGATATAAGCTTACAGAACTTTAAAAAGCCTTTTCATTTGCTCACCTCAAATGGGAAGAAAACTTTCCAAAGAATATTTAGTCATAATTCTGGCTGTAAAAGAAAGCTTTGAGCGATTTTCTTGCCTCAAGTTCATCTTTGAAAAAAGCAAACACTGGGAAGCCGGCTTAAAACAAAAACTTAAGCTTTAAGCTTGAAGACTCAGGATTTTTAGAAACACTTTAATACTTGTCTTCGTGAATGAAAATTGTTGTCTCTGCATATGTTTCACCGAATTATATTTCTTTTATTGATTGTCAGTAGTCTCTATTGCAATTTTAATCGCCGTGCCATTTGTTTTCAGTCGTGCATGAACATCACTTGCACAAGTACTGCTGTACGTATCAAACGATTTTGAAGATTTAACTTCGTGATAAAACCATTAAATAAAAAAGAGACATGATAAATTCTTTATTATGTTGAAGAGTAACTCTGTTAATGTTCATTCAAAAACTCCACAGCTTGCCACCGGCTAGCCGTATAGGTTATTTTGGAAATTTTTTTAAGCGTTTTCACTAAAAGCCCACGCGTGTTTCAATCATCCTGAATATTGAATGAGTGCAATTTGTATTTCAAAATTATGAAATACTGCATTCTGTCAGAGGTCTGTATGATAAAAGCAGTGCCTCATAGTACTGTTTCACCTCAGATGTGATAAGTATAAAAAAGTATAAAAGGTTGGTTTACACGCCCCCAGATTTGTTAGTAAGATTTTGTAAAGCAAACTTGTCGAACGCAAAAAAATTCAGCCTGATTTGTTTTCCAGGCCTAATCTACTGTGATCAAGATCAAGAGCCATTATGGCTCTTAAATGTGATCAAAGATGATTGCCATTTTTTTGGTGTACGTATAAGGCTATCAACTCGATGTAAGATTTGGTTCACTCTTTTTGTAGACTGTATGCAAATTATTTTTGTCTAAAATCACTTAGCCTTTCCCTCAAAAGTCACATGAATGGGTTCTTAAGTTAACTGATTTGTGGAATACAAGTTTATTTTTTGATTTAAATTACAAATTTAATTATGGGAGCTTCGCTTTTAGCCCTGGCTAAATCTATATTTTAGGGGATTTAAGGTAATTTGAATAAATGGGGATCAAATTTAACCTATAACAAAAACTTTGGCAAACTACCGTGTGGCACGAAATTTTTGCGGGTTCTAATTTTTGTGATTGTTGCAGTTTTCCCAGTGATCTGCAAAAATAATTTCCCACAAATAAAATTAAAATTCTCACTAAGAAATTGTGTCTGTTCAATCACAACTTGTCTCTTCCATTCGTAAACAATGAAATACTGGTTTATTGCTTGAAAATATGTATTTCTATTGCACATACTCAATAAAAACGAAACTATTATCAATGCTGGGTACTGGGTACTTTCTTAGAATCGCAAAAATTAATTCTAGGCAAGAAAAAATCAATCTAAAAAATAAAATAAATAAATATACCGTTTATTTGCCACATTGTAGAATCAACTGAATTAAAGAGCTATAAATTAACAATCAACAAATAATTAACAAACACTACTAGTACTGATGAAAATGAAGAATGATCGTCGCAGTGAACCCAATTTATGCAATTGCGTAAGAAGCCCGAAAAAAATTCAGGACTTCAACAGGGTTTGAACCCGTGACCTCGCAATTACCGATGCGACGCTCTACCAACTGAGCTATGAAGCCACTGACGTTGGTAGCAGGTCAATTGTGGGTTCATATGTTCCCGTGAAAGAAATGAGCGTTAATGATATATCAAATAAATCATATACGAATTGCGCAAATGAAATGAAAATGAAGAAAAATGAAGAAATGATCGTCGCAGTGAACGCAATTTATGCAATTGCGTAAAAGAAGCCTGAAAAAAATTCAGGACTTCAACGGGGTTTGAACCCGTGACCTCGGGATTACCCGTGCGACGCTCTACCAACTGAGCTATGAAGCCACTGACGTTGGGAGCAGGTCAATTGTGGGTTCATATGTTCCCGTGAAAGAAACGAGTGTTAATGATATATGGAATAAATCATATATGAACTGCGGAAATTAAATGAAAATAAAGAAATGATCGTCGCAGTGAACGCAATTTATGCAATTGCATAAAGAAGCCTGAAAAAAATTCAGGACTTCAACGGGGTTTGAACCCGTGACCTCGCGATTACCGGTGCCACACTCTACCAACTGAGCTATGAAGCCACTGACGTTGGGAGCAGGTCAATTGTGGGTTCATATGTTCCCGTGAAAGAAATGATGGTTAATGATATAGGGAATAAATCATATATGAACTGCGGAAATGAAATGAAAATGAAGAAATGATCGTCACAGTGAACACAATTTATGCAATTGCGTAAAGAAGCCTGAAAAAAATTCACTAACACTCATTTCTTTCATGGGAACATGTGAACCCACAATTGACCTGCTCCCAACGTCAGTGGCTTCATAGCTCAGTTGGTAGAGCATCGCACCGGTAATCGCGAGGTCACTGGTTCAAACCCCGTTGACGTCCTGAATTTTTTTCAGGCTTCTTTACGCAATTGCATACATTGTGTTCACTGCGACGATCATTTCTTCATTTTCATTTCATTTCTGCAGTTCATATATGATTTATTCCATATATCATTAACACTACTACTACTATAGAAACAATAAAAATATCTTAAATAACTATTTACATATTCACATATTTACTAGCAAATGAAATAAAGGAGCCTGAATGCTGGGTCCGGAAACAACTCCTATAAGCATAAACAATATTTCTATTGTTGTCGCTGGCCCGCAAGTTGTAACTATGACCATTAGTTGCTGCTCTCAGCTTGAGGAAGTTAATGGGGTGGTCCTTTTGAGTCATCTTCTGAACTGATATTTACAGCAGAGATGAGTTCATCTTTCTTTCAAGCTGCTAAGGTTGGTAGTACTGAGGGTATCTAAGTAACTATGGCATGGATAGATAATATATAGTGCCCTTTTTTAAATTGACTCCAGCTTATTTGAAAGAAATTCAGGAATATCTTGCCAGACTTGCACACCATATTCTAGCTGTCAAGTAAACTTTGAGAATTCCCTCTCTACACTTATTCACTGTCCTAATCACAAAAATTAGTTCCCGCAAGACACAAAAAATCACCAATCCATAAAAGTAAACTCCCGCAAAATTTTTTTGCCACACAGTAGGCATAAAATTATATGCTGTGGCTGTATGGCTAGTAACCGGTCTAGGTTTTCAAAACACTAAATGACCGGCAGTCCTTATATTCTCAGTAAATTTCACAAATCAAAAAAATCCAGCTAACCTAAACTCTCATACGTCGATTAAGAAAAGTCAAGCAATCCTGAAATGCTTTATAGATCTCAAGTCTGACGTTTGGTTTACGCTGGGCTCAGACGATGAAACCATGTTTTGTGACACTTAGAACTTTTTTCAGCTCAACTGCCGGTCAATGTGTTGAAAACACTAAATGACCAGCAGTCCTAGTCTGGGACCTACGGCAGTCCCTATATTCTCGGTTTATTCTTGAGATCTATAATGCATTTCAGGATCGCTTGACCTTTCTTAATCAACATATGATAGTTTGGTTTAGCTGGATTTTTTTGATTTGTGAAATTTAGGGAGAATATAGGAACTGCCGGTCATTTAGTGTTTTCAACACCTTGACCGGCAGTCAACCTGAAAAAAGTTCTAAGTGTCTCAACACATGGTTTCGTCTTCTGAGCCCAGTGTAAACCAAACGCTAGACTTAAGATCTATAAAGCATTTCAGGATCACTTGACTTTTCTTAATCGACATATGATAGTTAAGGTTAGCTGGAATTTTTCGATTTTGTGAAATTTACTGAGAATATAAGACTGCCGGTCATTTAGTGTTTTGAAAACCTTGACCGGTTACCGGCCATATAGCCACAGCAAAAATTATAAGCTCGATGTAAATATTATAAAGAAGACCAAAGCCTCGAATGTAACATAAATCAAATATTACAACTCCATTTCCTTGCCAACCTGACACATTTTGTAGTCAAACGTTTTTATCACAGTCATAAAAGCTTTATTCTTTCAAATTAAGAACTTACTTTCACAAAGTGATAAATAGCTAAGGCAACAAATTAAACAGCAAAAGTACTTATAAAGCAAGTGAAAGATTAAGTTTTTCGGTTGTTAATTCAAAAATGGTTTTCTTTCTGTTTAAGTGTTCGAGATTCTCTCGGCTCATAATTTCATACATGTAACTCACGTGGATTAACACTTAACACGATAAGCTGAGGTTTAGCTCCGCGTTTTTGGAGACGACTGCGCAAATAAACTTACCCCGTTCTTTCCTCGCGCCGGGCCTCTTCAAGATGCTCTTCTACATCCTTAATATCTGTATGTTTTCGCCATGTTTGCTTTTTGTTTTTACTCACTTTTTTTCGCTTCATTGTTGCCGCCATCTTGATTTTTAAGTATGCGATCGACAACGTGGGCTCAGTTGTTGCGCAATCAATACTACTTGTACCCAGCATTTCGACCATTTGAGTCTTTTTGCGTACCGTACATAAAGTAGTAACCGTTCTGTATGCAATCACGGTTTGGACGCCATCTTGGAGCGGCCTGGCACATTTTGCCTCGATCTCATGTTCTCAGTTTTTCTGGAAGCTATTCGTTCACAGATGAAACGTTGGCGATTTTCTCTTTACTACAGGTTTGTTTATAGTTTTTCTCGCAGTTTTCAGTTAATTCAATCAGTTTTTTCTTATAGGAAAATTTCCATTCTAAGATAATCCGGATACACTGTATTTGTTTTTATGGATTCAAGCAAGATCAGCTTAGATCCACCATATGTATTTCTATTACAAATTACATCTTTTCGCTGTTTAAAGCGTCGTATTTGCTTTTGTTTCCGGATGCGTTGAACGAGGTGAGTCGTGTTAGCCTAGTGTCACGCAACAAGGGTTTAAGGTGACTCGACCCAGTTATTTTGTGGGGGTACCATCCTACTTTCAAGCTCTCTGGTATCCCCCCTCCCCGCTTTACTTTAATCGTAAGTCCAACATATAGCATGGATCACATGTAGGTCACGATTGGAGTAAATGTCACGTGGTTATAGTGCCGTGCCTTTTTCGGGTCGAGATTCTGCTGTACGTTGCCGGCATTTTTTCGTGAAAATC